GTAATCCCAGCACTTTGGGAGGCCGAGACGGGCGGATCACGAGGTTAGGAGATCGAGACCATCCTGGCTAACACAGTGAAACCCCGTCTCTACTAAAAAATACAAAAAACTAGCCGGGCGAGGTGGCGGGCGCCTGTAGTCCCAGCTACTCGGGAGGCTGAGGCAGGAGAATGGCGTAAACCCGGGAGGCGGAGTTTGCAGTGAGCTGAGATCCGGCCACTGCACTCCAGCGCAGGCGACAGACCAAGACTCCGTCTCAAAAAAAAAAAAAAAAAAAGAATAGGATATGAAAGGCTAGTTTGTCATAGCTGCAAAATGCATTGAGATAATTAAAATGATTAATGCAAAAATAAAATTCAAAAATTTCTATGGGTTTGAACAATGGACTGAAATAAGATGAAATTTTACACGGGAGCTGTAAAGCTTTCCTTTTTAGATTAAAGATCAATAGTCTCTGACACTAAGTAATGAACAGAGAATGTACTCTGGACCAGTTGTTCTTGAATGCAGCCTGATCGAATCTTATTTCTTAGCACCTTTCAATGTACTTCTTTGAGTATTGGTGCTATAGATGATGAAAAGCATCACCAGGTCAAAAACTTATTGTCAATAAATATGCAATAATACAAAAACAGTTAACAAATCAGTACATTTGCTACAATGAAACAGCAGCTTTTCCCCGTTAAAACACAGAATGGATGATGCTCATTTGTTCCACACACTCCCCTGGGAGTATCTACACTTTTCACAAAACCCAGAAATAATTTTCAGAGAAATACAGTGCCACAATTATTAACCACTGGTATCTCTTAATACATTGCAATATACACTAAAGTGATTCTACTACAGAAGTAACTTTGAATATCTTGACATTTATTAAAGGAAAGATTCAATCACTTGCCAACTCCAGTATGTATTTTCACTATTACTAGGAAAATTACTTTGTGAAAAGTTGGAAAGACTATAAATATCCACCAATACGGGAAAGGTCCAATAAATTACGACGGAGTAATTTTAATTTTTGGAATATTACAGTCATCGAAAGAATAAGCCAGGCTGGTTTATTCTGGTGGCTCACGCCTGTAATCCTAGCACTTTGGGAGGCCAAGGTGCGCCTATCATGTGAGGTCAGGAGTTCGAGACCAGCCTGGCCAACATGGTGAAACCCCATTTCTACTAAAAATAGAAAAAAAAAATTGGCCAGTCGTGGTGGCAAGTGCCTATAATTCCAGCTACTCAGGAGGCTGAGGCAGGTGAATCACTTGAACCCAGGAGGCAGAGGTTGCAGTAAGCCTAGATTGTGCCACTGCACTCCAGCCTGGGTGACATGGCAAGATTCTGTCTAAAAAATTTTTTTACATTAAAATATTTTTTAAAAATAAGCTAGGCCAGGGGTCCCTAACCCCTGGACCACGGAGTCTGTGGTCTGCTAGGAACCAAGCTGCACAACAGGAGGCGAGGGGCGGTCAGGTGGTAATACCTGAGACCTGTCTCCCGTCAGATTAGCGGCTGCATTAGATTCTCATGGGAGTGTGAACCCTATTGTGAACTGCACGTGCACAAGATCTAGGCTGCACATTCCTTATGAGAATCTACATAGTGCCTATTAAGGCTGAACCGTTTCATCCTGAAATCATACCCCGACACTGTCTGTGGAAAAACTGTCTTCCATGAAACCAGTCCCTGGTGCCAAAAAGGTTACGGACTGCTAAGCCATATTATATTTTTTGACACAGGAAAGACATTTCTGATATGAAGTGGAAAAAAACAGCAACCTGCAAAAGGATAATCAGGCTGGGCAAGGTGGTTCATGCCTATAATCCCACTGCTTTGGGAGGCTGAGGAGGGAGGCTCACTTGAGCCCAGGAGGTGGAGGCAACAGTGAGCTACGATTATGCCACTGGTACTCCAGCCTGGTGACAGAGTGAGACCCTGTCTCTTTAAACAACAACAACAATAACCCATAATCACAGTTAAGATTCTGCTTTTGTAAAAACATTATATAAACATGCATATGTATAGGCATAAGAGCATACCAGTACTTGCACACAATTACAGCTTGTATATGAAGAGAAAAAATTTGGAAGGATGATTATCCCTGAGGAATGGGACAGAGAGTGGAGAAAAACTGTATTTTTTTTTTTTTTTTGAGACGGAGTCTCGCTCTGTCGCCCGGGCTGGAGTGCAGTGGCCGGATCTCAGCTCACTGCAAGCTCCGCCTCCTGGGTTCATGCCATTTTCCTGCCTCAGCCTCCCGAGTAGCTGGGACTACAGGCGCCTGCCACCTCGCCCGCTAGTTTTTTTGTATTTTTTAGTAGAGACGGGGTTTCACCGTGTTAGCCGGGATGGTCTCGATCTCCTGACCTCGTGATCCGCCCGTCTCAGCCTCCCAAAGTGCTGGGATTACAGGCTTGAGCCACCGCGCCCAGCCAAAAAACTGTATTTTTTACATCTATAGATTCCTTGTGGGTTTTTCTCCACAATTAGCTTGTTTACCTAAGTTTAAAATAGAAAAATATGAGGGCTGGGTGCAGTGGCTGATGCCTATCATCCCAACACTGGGAGGCCCAAGCAGGAGGATCACTTGAAGCTGAAAATTTGAGACCAGCCTGGGCAACACAGCAAGACCTCATCTCTATAAAAAAAATAAAAGAATTGGCCATAATCCTAGCACTTTGGGAGGCTGAGGCGGGTGGATAACCTGAGGTCAGGAGTTTGAGACCAGCCTAGCCAACAAGGTGAAATCCCGTCTCTACTAAAAATACAAAGATTAGCCAGGTGTGGTAGCAGGCATCTATAATCCCAGCTACTAGGGAGGCTAAGGCAGGATAATTGCTTCAACCCAGGGGGCAGATGTTGCAGTGAACAGAGATTGTTGCACTTCACTCCAGCCTGGGCGAAAGAGCAAAACTCTATTTCAAAATAACTAACTAACAGAATTAGCCAGGCCTGGTAGTGCTTTCCTGTAGTCCCAGCTACTCCGAAGATTGAGGTGGGAGGATCGCTTGCACCCAGGAGTTTGAGGCTGCAATGAGCTATGATGTTGTCACTGCACTCCAGCTTGGGTGACAGAGCAAGACCTGGTCTCTTAAAAAAAAGAGAGAGAGAGAGAGAAAACACTGGGAATGTATTCAGGGCAACTTGAGTCTATGCTTCCAGAAAAAACAAAACAAAACAAAACAAAACAAAACAAAAAAGTTAAAAAGGCAAGCAGGACAAAAAAGAAAACACAAAACAAATTTTACTACTTCTCTTAACTGAATGCCCCACTTCTTAGGACACCAAAATTGAGAGTCATTAGACCAAAATACAGTCATTAAAGATAACAATGAAGACAATGCAGAAGCACATGAAATATTTACAACAGGAGAAAAAATGTTAAGAGAAAAAAGAATACAAATTATATTTATAAAATGATTACAACTATGTAAAAATAGGAATGCAGGCAGCCAAGGTGGTAACTTTATGTTTATCCAAAACCAAAAACAGTGTTTTGGAGTACTTTGATGTTTTTCACCACAAAAAGTTGTCATTTTTTTCATTGCTTTATTCAGCATAATGAAAGCTTTTAAGATAGTCATCCAAAAATTGGCTAACACAACAAAAATTCCACAAAACAGATTCCAACCAAAGAAAAATCTTTAAGGCAACCAATCAGCACCTAAGGAACGCAATCATCTGGCTTTTTTTTTTTTTTTTTTGAGATGGAGTCTTGCACTGTTGCTCAGGCTGGAGTGCAGTAGTACGTGCCACCAGGCCAGGCTAATTTTTTTTTTTTTTTTGTATTTTTAGTAGAGACTGGGTTTTGCTACATTGGTCAGGCTGGTCTCAAACGCGCCTGCCTCAGCCTCCCAAAGTGCTGGGATTATAGGCGTGAGCCACTATGCCCAGCCAATCATCTGGCTTTTTGATAGAAGGTATTTCTAGAATTAATAGAGACATAAGATCCAGTACCACTGCCTCGACAGTGAACAGACTGATTTACTCCAGTCAGGTCTACATGGGCAAAGTAAAATAAAACACGGAATGCCATTATCTTGACAGTGGTGCTGGGTGGAAGGAAGGGCAATTAGGCAGATACAGGGACCTGAGACTCTTTTCTTTTTTTTTTTTTTTTTTTTTTTTTTTTTTTGTTCGGTTGTTTGGTTTTTTTTCCCGGGATGAGACGGAGTCTGGCTCAGCTCGCCCAGGCTGGAGTGCGTGGCGGATCTCAGCTCACTGCAAGCTCACTTTCCAGGTTCACATGCCACTTCTCCTGCCTCAGCCTCAGTAGCTGGGACTAAGGTGCCGCCACCACGCCCGGCTGATTTTTATATTTTTAGTAGAGAGCGAGTTTCTGTTAGCCAGATGGTCTGATCTCTCTGACCTCGTGATCCGTGTTAGCCAGGATGGTCTCGATCTCCTGACCTCGTGATCCGCCCATCTCGGCCTCCCAAAGTGCTGGGATTACAGGCTTGAGCCACCGCGCCCGGCCGGGACCTGAGACTCAGGTGGTTATTTTCCTCATCTCATCAGTGGGGACTTGGCTTCTTTGATTGCATCTTCATGTGCTTAGTTACACTGTATTTCCCTTTATGGATACTGTAGGCTTATTTTATAGCCAGAGTGAATAGGGGCAGGCTATCTGGCCAGTCAACACCTCACATTATCTTCCCCAAACAGCTAATGTTTATTAGAGCAACTAGAGAAGAGAAAAAAGAGTGACTGGACGGAGGAGAAAGAAAGAAAGCAGGAAAGCAAGCTAGCCAATGCCATTACTTTTAAGTATGCAATACCTTTTTTTTTTTTTTTTAAGACAGAGTCTCGCTCTGTCATCCAGGCTGGAGTGTGGTGGCACAATCTCCGCTCACTGCAAGCTCCTCGCACCAGGTTCACACCATTCTCCTGCCTCAGCCTCCTGAGCAGCTGGGACTACAGGCGCCTGCCACTATGCCCAGCTAATTTTTTTGTATTTTTAGTAGAGACTGGGTTTCACCGTGTTCGCCAGGATGACCTTGATCTCCTGACCTCGTTATCTGCCCGCCTTGACCTCCTAAAGTGCTGGGATTACAGGCGTGAGCCACCACACCCCGCCTCAGGTCTGCAATACTTAAAATGCATAGTACATGAATATCACCTTGTGTTCAGACACTGAGGCCGTGTCTTCAATTGCTTGAAAAAACAAGAGAGTCACAAAAACATTATGACACATCAGCGAAACACGTTTCACCTTACTCAGCATGCACTGTTATCTCATCTAAGAGCCAATGTGTCCATATGGGAGCCATCAGCTATCATTTCCACTTGAATGACTTTTGAGATTTTTATTTCAATCTACTTCAGTTATACATCTGTCACTAATTGCCACTCACTTCCTCCTTGATAATCAAAGTTCCAAAGATCTCACCTTAACACAGGCTTCTGAAATGGTTTTCTCATATCTAATAGCTGACTTTATTACATCAAAAAGGAGAATAATGTAGCTCTGACTGCTGCTTTCTTGATTTCCTGAGGAATTACAAGTAGCAGAGAGGAAAAAATTAGTCTTCTACCTACCAGAAAAGAACTTACAAGATCTGATTTCCTGCTTCGTAGCCATGTACCCTGGAGCAAATGACAACCTCATGTATAAGATGGCTAATAAACTTGCACTGTAGTCTGTCTGGAATTGATCTGAATGGCTAAGGAAACATATAAACACATCATAATCACATACATATATGTAGTTTGAAACACTATACAATACTAGATGTAAATGTCATAATAGTACCATTATTTGTAGTTGTAAGTATTAAGCTCCAATTCTGACTGTGGGATGTCAGAAAACTGTGACAACCTATGTGAGGAAAAGGGTGGCAATTATCCATGAGCTCTTTACCTTGCTCGTCCTTTACTTTTCTATTTTACTTGGGAAGCCTGTAACCGTCATGGCAAAACACAATGTTGCAGATCCAACTTCTCCCGAAGCTCAGAAATTACCTGCAGAAAATAAATATTAACTATGGTTTTCTGCTTATTCATAGTGGGTAGGCACAGTCCAGTTTCTCAACCATGACAATCTCCTGAAAGACTGAGGAAGAAAAAATTTTAAATGTTGGACATTTTGGAAAATAGAGTTGTGAGAATAGCTAATGAAATGTCATAGAACATCATACCCAAAATTTCAGAATTCTGTGAGGTACTACACAGCAAGAGTAAATGTAACTTATAGCAGCTCATACAGAGTAATGAATCTGTTGAATAGCTCCATTCTCTCCACTGAATGCTATCTGGATTAGTCATTATTCTTGGTTAGTCTGGGGACAGAGAAGAGCAATTGGTACTTATTAAGTTGCTTTGTCTAGGTGTGACGGGATATAAGAGCATACCTCAAGTGCATCCATGGCTGTTATGGAATGAAGAATGAACTTTATTATACAGGTAAATCCTCCAATAGACGACAACTTATCAATCACCAACTGGCGAACCTAGAAATTAAAAGCACAAAAACTTAATACGTTTTCATATCACTACCTCAGCTTGTACTGAACTGTTAGGTAAAATTAGAAAAAATCACTTCTCTCACTCAGTTTTCCCACTCACAATTTAGGGGAAAAAAAAATTTAAATTTTTCCCCAAATTAGAATCTTTTAGTTGTTAATACCATAGCTTCATCGAAAACAGACAGGTAATAAATGTGAAACAGAGCTATTATCTCTGAAACAGAGCCAAAATTCTCAACTGGCTACAGTAAGGCATAAAAAGTATTATTCCTATGGGAAGCAGGTATGATTCAGACAATATAGAAAATTTCCACTCAAAACTTACTGCTTAAAAACAGACCTGTGAATCTATCACAGAATAGCATCTGAAACTCATTGAGAAAAATTAAAAAAAAAAAAAGAGAGAGAGAGATATCAAATGTGATTCACTATGGTTTCAAAATGAAATACTCATTACACAAGATTTCTACCAAGGCAATGACTGACTAACACTTGTTCCAGGAGGTTGGAAAGCTGAGACTGCACCACTGCACTCCTGCCTGGGTGACAGGCGTGGTGGTGAACACTGTAATCCCACATACTTGGGGAGCTGAGGCAGGAGAATTGCTTGAATCTAGGAGGCGGAGGTTGCAGTGGGCCAAGATTGCGCCATTGCACTCCAGCCTGGGCAACACAGTGAGACTCTTTCTCAAAATAAATAAATAAACAAACCTTCAAATTTATTATTACTGTACACAGGACTCTGAAAAAATTTAAAAAGGGAACATAAAAATGACTAATCCTGTCATTCTAGAAATGTGCACTATTAATATGCATATGTATATGTTTGTATCTTCCTTTTTTAACAAAATACTGGACTGCACTATTTAATCGCAAAAACCGCAATTACTTTTGCACCAACCTAACATAAATGCTATGTGTGACCTGGGTTTGTTTTTTTCAATTAATGTATGATACTAACTAGTTCTCTTTACAGTTATTAATGTGCATATAATATTCCTTTTTGAACATCTCAATTATTTACATTTCTTTATTTTAAACAGTAATCTTTGTCTTTTTTTTTGAGATGGAGTCTCGCATTGTCGCCCAAGCTAGAGTGCAGTGGCGCAATCTCGGCTCACTACAAGTTCTGCCTCCCGGGTTCACGCCATTCTCCTGCCTCAGCCTCCAGGAGTAGCTAGGACTACAGGCGCCTGCCACCACACCCGGATAATTTTTTGTATTTTTAGTAGAGTTGCGGTTTCACCGTGTTAGCCAGGATGGTCTCGGTCTCCTGACCTCATGATCCACCTACCTCGGCCTCCCAAAGTGCTGAGATTACAGGCGTAAGTCACCGCGCCTGGCCAATTTTTTTCAATATATGGAACACTTCACAAATTTGCGTGTCACCCTTGCAAAGTGGCCATGCTAATCTCTGTATTGTTCCAATCTTAGTATATATGCTGCCAAAGCAAGCACTAAACTAACGTTATTTCATTTTCATTCACAGTTATTATCTTAGGATAAATTAGGAGACTGACATTAGGATTAAAGGGTATGCAAAATCTAAGGTTTTTGACACATACAATCTATTGCTCTTCAGACTCAATGCCTGAACCAATTTATATGCTCACTAGCAATGTCGAGCATGTCTATTCACTACACTTAACAAGGAGACCCTTTGAGAGTAGGATAAAATGCCTTTATTTTACTGCTTAATAGTTATTATTTACTATTTTGATATAGTGTTTTAAATTTGTGACTTTGATAGCTAACAAAATTGAACTTTTAAAATATTTTATATTCTTGTATTTCTTCTTTGTAAAAGGTCTGTTCATGACCTTTGTCTACTTTTCTATTAGGCCGTTCATTTCTTTTTTAACATAGTAATTAAAAAAAACAGGTAGGGCCACATCCCAGTAGTTTGAGAGGCTCAGGCAGGTTGATCACTTGAGCCTAGAAGTTTTGAGACCAGCCAAGGCAACATGGCGAAACCCATCTCTACCAAAAAAAACATGAAAATTAGCCAGACCAGGTGGCGCGCACCTGTAGTCCCAGGCACTCATGGGGCTGAGGTGGGAGGATCACTTAAGCCTGGGTAGTTGATGCCGCAGCAAGCCGTGATCGTATTACAGCACTCCAGCCTGGGCGACAGAGTGAGACTCTGTCTCAACATACACTACAAAATTAAAAAGGTAAAGAAAAGTATTCAGAGAATACCTGATTCCAACCAACTGGCTACCCTCTTTGGAAACAACTACTGTTACCAGTATATTGTGTATCCTTCTACTAGGGATTATCCCTGAGCATAAGCAATAGATACTTAAAAAACATTTTTTTCTTTTCTGTTTTTAAATAGACACAAGGTCTCACTACATTGCCCCGGCTGGTCTTGAATTCCTGGATTCAAGCAATCCTCCTGCCTAGGCTTCTCAAACTGTTGGGATTACAGGTGTCAGCCACCGCAACAGGCCAATAGTTACTTTTTTTTTTTTTTTTTTTTTTAGACGGAGTCTCGCTCTGTCTCCCAGGCTGGAGTGCAGTGGCCGGATCTCAGCTCACTGCAAGCTCCGCCTCCCGGGTTCACGCCATTCTCCTGCCTCAGCCTCCCGAGTAGCTGGGACTACAGGCACCCGCCACCTTGCCCGGCTAGTTTTTTGTGTTTTTTAGTAGAGACAGGGTTTCACCGTGTTAGCCAGGATGGTCTCGATCTCCTGACCTCGTGATCCGCCCGTCTCGGCCTCCCAAAGTGCTGGGATTACAGGCTTGAGCCACCGTGCCCGGCAATAGTTACTTTTAACAGTAATCCTATTTGTTACAAAGTCTTATTAACAGATGAAACTTCAAAGACACTCCAGTAAAATTTTAGTAGTCACTTAAGAAGCATCATGATAAATTGACTTTCAGAGAAACCAAGTTTTCAGAGTAAACTTTTCAGAGAGAAACTTAAGTACAACTGATACTTTGAACATTCCATAATAACTCCAGAATATTTTCAAAAAAATATTCTGGCATCTTCTCAAATAAGGTTTTGACAATGGCAGGTTAAAAAAGAAGACATAGGAAGTTAGGGGATGATCTGAAAATACACAATACAAGGCCGGGTGCGGTGGCTCACGCCTGTAATCCCAGCACTTTGGGAGGCCGAGGTGGGCAGATCATGATGTCAGGATATCGAGACCATCTGGCTAACACGGCAAAACCCTGTCTCTACTAAAAATACAAAAAATTAGCCGGGCGTAGTGGCGGGCGCCTATAGTTCCAGCTACTCAGGAGGCTGAGGCAGGAGAATGGTGTGAACCCAGTAGGCAGAGCTTTCAGTGAGCCAAGATTGTGCTACTGCACTCCAGCCTGGGCGGCAGAGCAAGATTCTGTCTAAAAAAATATATACATACACACAATAGAAATGTATAATCCCAGCTACTTGGGAGGCTGAGGCATGAGAATCGCTTGAACCTGTGGGAGGCAGAGGTTGCAGGGAGCTGAGATCACACCACTCCACACCAGCCTGTGTGACAGAGGAGACTCTGACTCAAAAAAAAAGAAAAGAGAAACGTATAATTCTCTTTCCAACTAGAGCTCCTGGAGGAAACACTTTGGTAAAGTTGATATCTTATTACAAGGATATCCACATGAGTATGTCTTCATTTTTAGAATATGCTACTGGAATACAAAGACTTAATCTGTCTTCTGAAAAACTGAAAATGATTATCAAGGCAAAGTTAAAATAATCAGATAATCAAAATATTATTAAACATCTAACTGTTAATCCATGAAATGCAGACTTTAAAATATTCTCAAATAGGTTGCAAGGGGAGCTCTCCAGAGGAAAAAGGGAGCTCTTAGACGTAAAATAACTAAATTATGCCGGGAGCAGTGGCTCAAGCCTGTAATCCCAGCACTCTGAGAGGCCGAGACGGGCGGATCACGAGGTCAGGAGATCGAGACCATCCTGGCTAACACAGTGAAACCCCATCTCTACTAAAAAACACAAAGAACTAGCCGGGCAAGGTGGCGGGTGCCTGTAGTCCCAGCTACTCGGGAGGCTGAGGCAGGAGAATGGCGTAAACCCGGGAGGTGGAGCTTGCAGTGAGCTGAGATCCGGCCACTGTGGGTGACAGAGCAAGACTCCGTCTCAAAAAAAAAAAAAAAAAAAAAAAAAAAAACCACCTAAATTATATTCAAGATTTCCAATGAAAAGAGTTTGAAAAGATTAACAGTAGGAGACAAGAGAAGAGGAAAAATGGAGAATGGGGTGGAGGGAAGTTTTCTGATCTATATACATTTGAATAACTTGAGATATTCAAATCATATCAATGTATTGTCTACTTAATATATTAAAAGAGAAGGAGAAAAAGGACAAAATTAAGTTACGTAAGCATCTAAAAAGCTAAATGAGAGATGATGTAGATATGAACATGATAGATTACCAGGTGCTCAGAGTACACAGGACGCAGATTTAAGAAGAGGAATCAGGCCAGGCGCAGTGGCTTATGCCTGTAATGCCAACACTTTAGAAGACCAAAGTGGGCAGATCACCTGAGGTTGGGAGTTCGAGACCAGCCTGACCAACATGGAGAAACCCTGTCTCTACTAAAAATACAAAATTAGCCGGGCGTGGTGGCACATGCCTATAATCCCAGCTACTCGGGAGGCTGAGGCAGGAGAATTGCTTGAACCTGGGAGGCAGAGGTTGTGGTGAGCCGAGATTGCGCCACTGCACTCCAGCTTGGGCAACAAGAGAGAAACTCCGTCTCAAAAAAAAAGAAAGAAAGAAAAGGAATTAGATGCAGAGGGAATAAATGGGACCAACCACTGGATGTACCAAGCTAATACGCATAGTTTTAAAACACAGACATTACCCTACCAAACTCATCATAGCAACAGAGCTGTGTTAAAGCTGTTACAAACCCCAATTCTCTGATTAACCCTACTCTATCCCATGTTCCCGCCATTTAGACTTGAGCATACACCACAAACCTCATCCATCGAATGTTCACAGAAAAAGTGACAGTCTTACCTGTAGTATGACAGTCTTACCTGTAGAAACTCCCCAGAAGCAGTTTGATGAGACTCTTAGAATAAGATGCACCCATACTGTAAAAAAAAGACATCTGTTTTCCACTTTGCTTTCCTTGTTTTAATGCTTTTATCATCTTTTCTCAATAAAATTGGTTAAATACATAATTTTAAAGAGGAACTATCCTGTTATACAAGAAATACAGAAATGAGCAAATGGCTCTTAGCAAGGGAGAGGTAGAGATTTGAAATTCTGGGGGACGGGCACGGTTGCTCATGCCTGTAACCCCAGCACTTTGGGAGGGTGAGGCGGGCGGATCATGAGGTCAGGAGATCAAGACCATCCTGGCTAACACGGTGAAACACCGTCTCTACTAAAAAAAAAAAAAAAAAAGCCAGGCATAGTGGCGAGCCGCTGTAATCCCAGCTACTCGGGAGGCTGAGGCAGAAGAATGGCACGAACCTGGGAGGCGGAGCTTGCAGCGATCCAGGATCGTACCACTGCACTCCAGCCTGGGTGACAGAGCAAGACTCCATCTCGAACAATGAAAAAAAAAGAAATTCTGTCAACACAGGTGAAACACATTCTAGAAAACACTGATTGTTAGGCTCATAACCACAAGCTTAGGAATTTCAAAGTTAGGTTTACTTTGAGGAAAAGAGAGCTTGCACCAAAAATGAAATTTGAAACAACTGCGCTCTCCCTCCCCAGCCCCACGCAATTAGCGGAACAGACTGAATTTCAGCAAGATTCCACGCCTCCTCTCCACACCTGGCTTCCTCATCCTGCAGAGCTCACAAGACAAAAGGCAGTTTCTGAAACTGTCTTCATCCACAATATAAGACTCCAGGCCACTAACAAATTCTTCTATTATCTTAAGGAGATTTAAAAAATAAAAAAGAATAAATTTTTTAGTTTAATATTTGCTGTTAAAAATCATTTTAGCCCACTCAATTTTATACCAGTGTCCTTAAATTCCAAATTCTAGAGTTATGCTGGCACAAGCAAAAATACCAGGGGAAAAATACACACTTTGGGATAGGAAGGGTGTCTCCTCAGGGTCTGAAAGAGCTTCTTTTGGAAAGCTATTTGGTCCACAGCTATGCAGAAAAAAGAAGAGCTGGTCACCAGTCTCCTACCATAGTTTTCCTTCTCTAAAAACCCAAGTTTCTTCCTGACAAAACCAATAAAAATATTTTCAACCCAATTTCAGAGCCAAATCTTTTTTTTGTTTGTCTGTTTTTTTTTTTTTTTTTTTTTTTGAGGTGGCGACTTGCTCTGTCGCCTAGGCTGGAGTGCAGTGGGGTGATCTCAGCTCACTGGAACCTCCGCTTCCCGGGTTCAAGCGATTCTCCTGCCTCAGCCTCCCAAGTAGCTGTTACTACTGGTACCCGCCACCACGCCTGGCTAATTTTTTTTCTATTTTTAGTAGAGACGGGGTTTCACCGTATTATCCAGGATGGTGTCGACATCCTGACCTCGTGATCCGCCTGCCTCAGCCTCCCAAAGTGCTGGGATTATAGATGTGAGCCACCGCGCCCGGCCCAGACTCAAATCTTCTAAACCTACATAAAAGACTTAGCTTTGATAGCAGATAGCCACTAAGTGCTCTAAAAAAGACCTGCCATAACCTTAGCAAGATAGAATAATCTGTTCCCCCAGAACACAATCTTACATGGCTCTATAAATTTTCTTTTGAAATTACTCTGACACTGATATTTCTGGATATTTATTTTTTCATAAGAAAACACAAAAGAAATAATAGTATATAACATTTTTTCTGATGAAAGGATTAGAAATGCCTTACTTAACAGGTAGTAATGAGGACCAAAGACTGTACCATTTTCTTTTTCCTTTTTTTTTTCTTTGAGACGGAATCTCACTCTGTCACCTAGGCTGGAGTGCAGTGGCGTGATCTTGGCTCACTGCAACCTCCGCCTCCCAGGTTCAAGCAATTCTCCTGACTCAGGCGCCTGAGTAGCTGGGACTACAGACGCATGCCGCCACGCCCAGCTAATTTTTTATATTTTAGTAGAGACATGTTGCCCAGGTTGGTCAGGAATTCCTGAGTTCAGACAATCTGCCCGCCTCGGCCTCCCAAAGTGCTGGGATTTATAAGCGTGAACCACCACGTGCGGCCTGACTGTACCATTTTCTAAAAAGCAATTTCAACTTTGTCTCAAGATGGATGGTCCTGTCATTTCTAATCTTCATTGCCTCTGTTTAGAAAACCCATGATTGGCCAGGTGCAGTGGCTCACACCTGTAATCCCAGCACTTTGGGAGGCTGAGGCGGGTGGATCACGAGGTCAGGAGATCGAGACCATCCTGGCTAACACGGTGAAACCTCGTCTCTACTAAAAATACAAAAAAATTAGCCAGGTGTGATGTCAGGCACCTGTAGTCCCAGCTACTTGGGAGGCAGAGGCAGGAGAATGGCGCCAACCCGGGAGGCGGAGCTTGCAGTGAGCTGAGATAGCGCCACTGCTCCCCAGCCTGGGTGACAGAGTGAGACTCCATCTCAAAAAAAAAAAAAAAAAAGAAAGAAAAGAAAACCCATATTCAATCCTGAGCTCTTTCATTAAACCCAGAGAATAAAATTAGATTAAAATATTACCTAGTTGATTCTGACTCTCTCTGGTTTTAAGAATAATTCCTGATGTCTTAAGAAGCTTTAGAGACACTGTCATTTTCTTCAACTTCATTAGGAATATGAGATGGAAAGTGGTTGCTTCTTGGTTTCTGAAAATTGACAAAATTTTAAAGAATATGGCAAATAGTAAAGGAAAAATGAAAACTTAAACCCAGGAATAATAATCCTGAGAGGAAAACTGATGTGTTCCTTAAAAATTATACTAGGATTGATGCTGTAGTGAAATAAACTATCTTCAGCAATAGTGGCTTCCAAAACAAACAATTCATATCAACAAATAGAATTATTTTCACCTATTAAGTTTTCATTTGAAGAATTCAAAATGTGCGATTTCTGGCCAGGCAAGGTGGCTTATGCTGGAATCGCAGCATTTAGGAGGCCAAGGCAGGAGGATCACTTGAAACCAGGAGTTCAAGACCAGCCCGGGGAACAAAGCAAGACCCCCTATCTCCACACACACAAAAAATTAGTTAGGTGAGGAGACGCACACCTGTAGTCCCAGCTACTTAGGAGGCTAAGGTGGAAGGATAACTTGAGCCCAGGAGGTTGACACTATAGTGAGCTCTGATAGTGCCACTGCACTCCAGCCTGGGTGACAGAGCGAGACTCCGTCTCAAAAAAAAAAAAAAAAAAAAAAAAAAAGAGAGGAAAGAAAACCCAGATTCAATCCTGAGCTCTTTCATTAAACCCAGAGAATAAAATTAGATTAAAATATTACCTAGTTGATTCCCATCTCTAAAAAAATAAATTCAAACAAACAAGTGCCTAACAAGAATAACCCATGGAAATGTTTTCCATCCAAATACTAAACTAGCCAGTGTCTCTCAAGCTGTTGCCTGCAAATCACTGTACTAGAATCACTGGGAAGATGCATATTCCTGGCCGGGCATGGTGGCTCACACCTGTAATCCCAGCACTTTGGGAGGCTGAGACAGGCAGATCACCTGAGGTCAGGAGATCAAGACCAGCCTGACTAACATGGTGAAACCCCGTCTCTACTAAAATGATAAAATTAGCTGGGTGTGGTGGCGCACACCAGTAGTCCCAGCTACTCAGGAGGCTGAGGCAAGAGAATCGCTTGAACTGGGAGGCAGATGTTGCAGTGAGCCGAGATTGTGCCACTGCTGTGTTGTCCAAGATGAAGTGTAGTGGCATGATCTCAGCTTACTGCAACCTCCACCTGCTGGGTTCAAGCGATTCTCCTGCTTCAGCCTCCTGAGTAGTTGGGATTACAGGTGCATGACACCACACCCAGATAATTTTTGTATTTTTAGTAGAGATGGGGTTTCGCTACGTTGGCCAGGCTGGTCTCGAACTCCTGACCTCAGGTGATCTGCCTGCCTTGGCCTCCCAATGTGCTGGGATTACAGACGTAAGCCACTGTGCCTGGCCCACAATTTCCTTTTCTAAATCAAGTTTATTCCTAAAATGGTTTTGGACTTGCAATTTTATCATTATAATTGCTGTTCATCAAGCATTTCCATCTATTTCAGTGGAACTGACCAAGAAGCACACTTAAATTCCAATAACCTAATAAGACATAACTCTTCAATCCACAAGTTAGTAGAAGCTAAGCTATGAGGATGCAAAGGCATTAAGAATGACATAATGGGCCGGGCGTGGTGGCTCAAGCCTGTAATCCCAGCACTTTGGGAGGCTGAGATGGGCGGATCACGAGGTCAGGAGATGGAGACCATCCTGGTTAACACGGTGAAACCCCATCTCTACTAAAAAATACAAAAAACTAGCTAGGCGAGCTGGTGGGCGCCTGTAGTCCCAGCTACTCGGGAGGCTGAGGCAGGAGAATGGCGTGAACCCAGGAGGCGGAGCTTGCAGTGAGCTGAGATCTGGCCACTGCACCCCAGCCTGGGCGACAGAGGAGACTCCGGCTCAAAAAAAAAAAGAATGACATAATGAGGCCAGGCATACCTGAAATCTCAGCACTTTGGGAGGCCGAGGTGGGTGGATTACTGGAGGTCAGGCGTTTGAGACCAGCCTGACTAACATGGTGAAACCCATCTCTACTAAAAATACAAAAATTAGCCAGGCATGCCTGCACGCACCTGTAAACCCAGCTACTTGGGAGGCTGAGGCAGGAGAATGGCTTGAACCTGGGACGTGGAGGTTGCAGTGAGCCAAGATTGTGCCACTGCATTCCAGACTGGGCAAGAAAAGCCAAACTCCATCTCAAAAAAAAAAAAAAAGATATAAAGGGCCAGGCGTGGTGGCTCTCGCCTGTTAATCCCAGCACTTTGACAGGCCAAGGTGGGTGGATCACTTGAGGTCAGGAGTTCGAGACCGCCCGCCTCTTGGCCAACATGGTGAAACCCCTTCTCTACTTAAGATACAAAAAAATTAGCCAGGCGTGGAGGCTGGCGCCTGTAATCCCAGCTACTGGGGAGACTGAGGCTGGAGAATTGCTTGAACCTGGGAGGCGGAGGTTGCAGTGAGCCCAGATTGTGCCAGTGCACTCCAGCCTGGGTGACAGAATGAGACTCCATCTCAAACAACCACCACCACCACCACCACCACAAGAATGATATAGTGGACTTTGGAGACACGAGGAAAAGGGTTGGGGGTCTTGGGGATTAAAAAATACATATTGGGTACACTATGCACTCTTCAGGTGACAGGTGCAACAAAATTTCAGAAATCACCGCTAAATAACTTGTTTATGCAACCAAAGACCACCTGTTCCCTAAAAACCTAGTAAAATAAAAACAAACCAACACAAACCAAGTTAGAACTGCTTTAATAGAGTAGACGAGAGCAATAAATTAACTATCAACCTCCCCGCCCCCGGCTCCCTTTTTGAGACACGGTCTCTCTCGCTGTGTCCCCTAGGCTAGAGTGCAGTGGTGCTATTATTGACTGATTGCACACTCGACCTCCTGAGCTCAAGTGATCCTCCCACTTCAGCCTCCTCAGTAGCTGGGACGACAGGCGCATACCACCAAGCCTAGCAGAAAGATACCTGTGGGGATTATCCCATCTCAGGGCAGATGAGGAAACCGAGGCTTCGGGCGCGGAGTCTCAGAGAAGAACGACTACCGCGGACCGGGCCTAGAGATTAGGCCGCAGGGGAGCGGGGCCTGGAGAGACTATGACCACTGCTCCACTTACTCACCAAGAAGTCATCACTCGTAGTTTTATTTATTTATTTATTGTTTTGAGACGGAGTCTTGCTCTGTCGCCCAGGCTGGAGTGCAGTGGCGCAATCTCGGCTCCCTGCAAACTCCGCCTCCCGGGTTCAAGCCATTCTCCTGCCTCAGCCTCCCGAGTAGCTGGGACTACAGGCGCCCGCCACCACGCCCGGCTAATTTTTTTCTATTTTTAGTAGAGACGGGTTTCACCGTGTTAGCCAGGATGGTCTCGATCTCCTGACCTCCTGATCCGCCCACCTCCGCCTCCCAAAGTGCTGGCATTACAAGGGTGAACCACCACGCCGGCCCGCCGCGGGTAGTTTTCCACTTTCCCGCCAGGCCCGACGCTGCTCTGACGACACCGAGGCGCGCCACGTCGTGACGTCAACTGTCGCGCCGGAAGTGTAAGGCCGGGCAGCCCAGCTGAAGGCAGTAAGCTGGCCTCTCCGTTGCAGGATAGTTCTGGGATATCGGGGCAAAGGGGCGTGAGAAGGCCCGGAGGCGAAGTCGAAGAGAAGCAACTGCGCCCTGGAGAAGAGAAGCTCGCCCATTCCCGACTGGGAGCCAGCTTTCAGTGAAGATGGCAGGGCCAGAACTGTTGCTTGACTCTAACATCCGCCTCTGGGTGGTTCTACCCATCGTTATCATCACTTTCTTCGTAGGCATGATCCGCCACTACGTGTCCATCCTGCTGCAGAGCGACAAGAAGCTCACCCAGGAACAAGTATCTGACAGGTCAGCCCCCTCCCTTCTCCTGCCTACCTCACACCGCCGTGACCTTGGGCAAGAAAGTGCAGGAGTTGTGTCAATTTGCCTAGGTTCACGTCGCGTCCCCACTGGCAGGGTGACCTTACCCGTTATCTCTGTGTTTCACTTTTGTCCTCTGTGAAATGGGGATGATAACAGTACCTGCTTCATAGACAGGTAGGAATCAAATTAGATGATGTCTGTAAAGCCCTTAGCACAGGATCTAGGACGTATTGAGTTTTGAAAAAAACGGTGCTGTTAATCCTTTACGTTAGTCGCCAACCTTCGGTGGGTTTACCTATGAACTATCCCATCCTACCCTTCGTTGAGAAGAGTGCCAGGTGCGTTACTGCTTTTAGTCTTTGTAACATCCAGTCAAGTGAGTGTGATAATCTGCATTCTACCAAATTACTGTACCAGGAGTCGGACCTGGGGGGAACTGTCAGCTGAGATGCTACGTACCAAAGCTCTTTGCAATCTGTAAAACTGCTGTTAGAGATGTAAGGAATTGTAGTTATCATTTCCCCCCTAGAGTAGAGGCAACTTCCTCACATATTTCATTGCAGTATTTATTTATTTATCTACATATTTACTTATTTTTGAGACAGAGTTTCGCTCTCGTGGCCCGGGCTGGAGTGCAGTGGCGTTATCTCAGCTCGCTGCAACCTTCGCCTCCCAGGTTCAAGCGATTCTCCTGCCTCAGCCTCCCAAGTAGCTGGGATTACAGGCCCACACCACTACACCCGACTAATTTTTGTATTTTTTGTAGAGACAGGGTTTCACCATCTTGGCCAGGCTGTTCTCGAACTCTTGACCTCAGGTGATCCACCTGCCTTGGCCTCCCAAAGTGCTGGGATTACAGTTGTGAGCCATCACGCCCAGCCCCTCATTGCGATATTTATATACAGAGACAGGAATTTGAGATGATTTTAGATGGTTATCTAGACATGTACCCTTTCATATTAAAGTAATAGTTTTCTCCCAGCTACTTGGGATGCTGAGGCAGAAGGATTGTTGGAGACCAGCCTGGGCAACATAAGGAGACATTGTCTCTTAGAAAAACAAGCAATTGGGGGAGGGAGGAGGGATTGCATTGGGAGTTATACCTGATGCAAATGACGAGTTGATGGGTGCTGACGAGTTGATGGGTGCAGCATGCCAACATGGCACAAGTATACATATGTAACAAACCTGCACGTTATGCACATGTACCCTAGAACTTAAAGTATAATAAAAAATAAAAAAAAAAATGTAGTATAACTAAAAAAAAAAGAAAAAGAAAAACAAGCAATTAGTCAGTTCTGATTACGTTCAGAAACCATCTCAGGTAAGTGCTACTATATCTTTAGCACCCCCCTCTCACATTAATTTCTCGTTTTAATAAAGAGAGTAAGTCTCAGGCTAAGAACTTTCCACAGGTAATAGTATCTAGTTAAAATTTAATAATGTTGTTTTGTTTCTACTGTACTTATTTTAAGTTACTTTCTTTTTTGTGACAATACTGTATTTCCATTTGCTGGTAATTTAAAGATTCCTTTAAAATCATATAGATGGGAAAAAAGTTGATATATAAAAAGTATTAAATATGTAATGATACAAGTGCTAGACAAAAATTCTGACCCATGGCATGAGAATGACTGAAGTTTATTTAGGAAGCACTGCTGTAACATTTCCCAATTATGCCAAGAAGAATAGTAACCATTTACTCTGTCAGGCACTATGCGAAGCACTTGTATTCATTAACTTATTTAAAACTCAAAACAACTGTATGAGGTACATATTGTTGTCTCATTTTATAGAAACTGAAGCTTTAACAAGTTCCATGGTACACATGGTGACATTCAGGACTTCACACCAAGCCTTCTGGTCTTGGGCTTTTTCCACTATACCACAGCGATCACTATCTTTCTGTAGCATTAGTTTTAGAACTGACCAGAGCCGGCACCCCACCCTGGAGTGAACCTCAAGAAGTCAACTTACTGGCTGGGTGTGGTGGTGGCTCACCCCTGTAATCCCAGCACTTTGGGAGGCCGAGGTGGGTGGATCACAAGTTCAGGAGATTGAGAACATCCTGGCTAGGATGTTTCTACTGATAATACAAAAAATTAGCTGGGCGTGGTATGCTGGGCGCCTGTCATCCCAGCTACTCAGGAGACTGAGGTAGTAGAATTACCTTGAACCCAGGAGGCAAGAGCTTGCAGTGAACTGAGATCATGCCACTGCACTCCAGCCTGGATGACAGAGTAAGACTCTGTCTCAAAAAAAAAAAAGTCAACTTACAGCTTGAGTGTGGTGGCTCACGCCTGTAATCCCAACACTTTGAGAGGCCGAGGCAGGCAGATCACGAGGTCAAGAGATCAAGACCATCCTGGCCAACATAGTGAAACCCTGTCTTAACTAAAAATACAAAAATTAGCTGGGCATGCTGGCACGTGCCTGTAGTACCAGCTACTCGGGAGGCTGAGGGAGGAAAATCACTTGAACCCAGGAGGCGGAGGTTGCAGTGAGCCGAGATCACACCACTGCAATCCAGCCTGGCGACAGAGGAAGACTCCATCTCAAAAAAAAAAAAAAAAAAAAATTCTATTTATCACAGAAAGAAAGGCTGTAGAAAAATGCAAAGTGGGCCGGGTGCAGTGGCTCACGTCTGTAATACCAGCACTTTGGGAGGCCGAGGCAGGTGGATCACGAGGTCAGGAAATCAAGACCATGCTGGCTAACACGGTGAAACCCAGACTCTACTAAAAACACAAAAAAATTAGCCAGGCATGGTGGCGGGCACCTGTAGTCCCAGCTACTTGGGAAGCTGAGGCAGGAGAATAGCGTGAACCCGGGAGGCGGCCCTTGCAGTGAACCGACATCGCGCCACTGGGTGACAGAGCAAGACTCCGTCTCAAAAAAAAAAAAAAAAAAAAAATGCGAAGTGGAGAAAGCTCAGACATTTAGCATTTTTTGGCATATAAATTTTTCTTATTTTAGCCTTGTTAAGTAGCTAAGGCAGATACTCTAAATACTTTTTTTTTTTTTTTTGAACGAGTCATGCAAGGTGCGTGTGGCCGGATCTCAGCTCACTGGCGCTCCTGCGCCTCCTGGGTTCACCATGTTCTCCTGCCTCAACTTTTGAGACGGAGTCTCGCTCTGTCGCCCAGGCTGGAGTGCAGTGGCCGGATCTCAGCTCACTGCAAGCTCCGCCTCCTGGGTTCACGCCATTCTCCTGCCTCAGCCTCCCGAGTAGCTGGGACTACAGGCGCCCGCCACCTCGCCCGGCTAGTTTTTTGTATTTTTTAGTAGAGACGGGGTTTCACCGTGTTAGCCAGGATGGTCTCGATCTCCTGACCTCGTGATCCACCCGTCTCGGCCTCCCAAAGTGCTGGGATTACAGGCTTGAGCCACCGCGCCCGGCCCCTAAATACATTTTTACAATTGAAGAAAAGGGATCCTGGAAAAGTTAAGTAGTCTTCCCAAAGTAACCAAAGTAGGGAAATATTGTGCCTGTACTTGAACTCAGATCAGTCTCACTCCCAGTTTAAACCCTCTTGAACCATGATTCCTGCTGTTGATTCTTTACCACGATTTTCTGCCCATGGTTCACTATTAGAGCAATGGTTCTGAATTATATCTGATCCAAAGCTCTCTTTTGTAACCCCAAAATGAAATTCACAGTTAGTGTAGTCTGTTTACAATAACTTTTTTTTTTTTTTTGAAACCAGTCTCACTCTGTTGCCCAGGTTGGAATGCAGTGGCGCAATCTCGGCTCACTGAAACCTCTGCCTCCCCAGCTGAAGTGATTCTCCTGCCTCAGCCTCTCGAGTATCTGCGATTACAGGCATGCGCCACCACGCCTGGCTAATTTTTGTATTTTAGTAGAGACGAGGTGTGAGCCATCACACCCAGCCAAGAACATTTCCTTAAGAAGGAATGTAACAGCCGGGCACAGTGGCACATGCTTGTAATCCCAGCACTTTGGGAGGCTGAGGCGGGCAGATCTTTTAAGGTCAGGGGTTCGAGAGCAGCCTGGCCAACATGGTGAAACCCCATCTCTACTAAAAATACAAAAATTAGCCGGGTGTGGTGGCATGTGCCTGTAATCCCAACTACTCGGGAGGCTGAGGCAGGAGAATCACATAAACCTAAGGACTGGAGATTACAGAGAGCTGAGATCTCGGCACTGGACTCCAGCCTGGGTGACAGGAAGACTCCGTCTCAAAAAAAAAAAAAAAAAAAAAAAAAATTCCACAGATTACCACACGTACCCCTAGAGGGCAGTACCACCCCCATGAGGAACCAACCACCGCTCTAGAGAAAACTCAATGTCTCGGCTCATAATTGCTGCATCCCTTAAGTGAGGTAGCTGGATTATACCAACTCTTACATGGAGTGGCTCAGCCTCATCAAGTCATCATTTAACTTGGGTAAAATGCTGTACACTCTGAACCAGCCTAAGTCCAAGAAAAAGGTGTGTTTTAGTTGTAAAACTTTTTTTTTTTTAAGAGACAAGTCTTGCTGTGTCCCCCAGGCTGGAGAGCACTGGCGCAGTCAAGGCTTACTGCAACCTCAACATCTCAGGCTCAAGTGATCCTCCCACCTCAGCCTCTCGAGTAGCTGGGACTATAAACGTGTACCACCACGCTCAGCTAATCTTTAAATTTTTTGCAAAGATGGGATCTCCTCTGTTGCCCAAGCTGGTCTCAAACTCCTGGTCTCAAGTGATCCTTCCATCTCGGCCTTCCAAAATGCTGGAATTATAGGCATGCACCACTGTGCCCAGCGGTATAAAACATTTTTCTAAATATGCTATAAATGTCCATTAGCAGCCAGGCACGGTGGCTCACGCCTGTAATTCCAGCACTTTGGGAGGCAGAGGCAGGCAGATCACGAGGTCAAGAGATTGAGACCATCCTGGCTAATACGGTGAAACCCATCTCTACTAGAAATACAAAAAATTACCCGGGCATGGTGGGATGCGCCAGTAATCCCAGGTACTCGGGAGGCTGAGGCAGGAGAATCGCTTGAACTGGGAGGCAGATGTTGCCGTGAGCCGAGATTGTGCCACTGCACTCCAGCCTAGGCGACATAGCAAGACTATGTCTCAAAAAAAGAACATTTCCATTCGCACCAGGCATGGTGGCTCAAGCCTGTAATCTCAGCACTTTGGGAGACTGAGACAGGCGGATCACATGAGGTCAGGAGTTCGAGATAAGGCTGGCCAGCACGGCGAAACCCCATCTCTACTAAAAATACAAAAAATTAGCTGGGCGTGGTGATGCACGCCTGTAGTCTCAGCTCTCTGCAGGCTGAGGCAGGAGAATCGCTTGAACCCAGAAGGCAGAGGTTTCAGTGAGCCAAGATCATGCCACTGTACTGCAGCCTGGGTGGCAGAGCAAGACGAGACAATGTCTCAAAAAAAAAAAATTTTTTTTTAACAGGTTTTAAGCGAAAGCTGTAAAATACATGAATAAAATATATTAGACTAGGTTTGGGGATAGAGTATGTGTAAAAAATGGTTCTCAGACTTGACAAATATTCTACTGACTTTTTGGAAAGGAAGAAACATAGATTCTTCAGAATGTCGAACCCTGGTTTGAGAAGTACTGATTTTAAAGCTTTATTCTAAGAAAATATATTTCAGGCCTGGTGCAATGGCTCATATCTATAATCCCAGCACTTTGGGAGGCTGAGATGGGAGGATCCCTTGAGCCCAGGAATTTGAGACCAACCTGGCAACATAGTAAAACCCTGTTTCTGCAAAAAACAAAATAAATAGAAGATGTTCTTCAGTTGCAAATTACAAAGTTTTATCTTTATAACAGTACAGAGACTTATTTTTAGATATTCATGAAAATAAAAATACAAAATTAAAAATTTCTTGTAGAATTTTCTAACTTCAGAGAACATAGCTATGGATCTCAGCTTAAGAAAGCAAGTGTTTAGAAAATACAGGATAATTTACGATTGCTTATTTAGATCTTGAAATACATCAGGGTCATGATACTGAACTTCATTTCTACATAATTGTTCAGCAGTGTAAATGTGGGAGATCTAGATGAATTCCTCTTGATTACACTGCCTGGGAAAGTCTTGAGTTATCATAGACTGAACAAGTGTTTTCCATTTGTTTTTCTGGAGACGGGGTCTTGCTTTGTCACCCAGGCTGGACCAAAGAGGTCGAGGCTGCAGTGATTGAGGCTGCAATCACGGTGGTGCGATCATGGCTCACTTCAGCCTCGATCTCCCGGGCTCAAGTGATCCTCCCACCTCAGCCTCCCGAGTAGCTGGGACTACAGGCACATGCCACTGCACCTGGCTAATGTTTAAATTTTTTGTAGAGACAGTGGTCTCATTATGCTGCCTAGGCTGGTCTCGAACTCCAGGGCTCAAGCGATCCTCCCGCCTCAGCCTCCCGAAGTATTGAGATTACAGGCGAGAGCCACCACATCTGGCTGTGAACAAGGTTTTTTGATGGCCTACCATGTGCCTTGTACTCTGCCGCATGCTATGGGGTACAGTATAAGACAAGGTCACAACCCTGCTCTCAGAGTTTCTGTTCAAGTGATAAAATATGCAAAGGGAAAAATAATAGACATTGTTAATCTAGTGCTTAGGATGTGCCAGGTAGAGTCATATAAGATCATATATATGGAAGAACTCAGCCTAAAATTCTCCACTTGGCTGGGTGTGGTGGCTCACACCTGTAATCCCAGCACTTTGGGAGGCTGAGGCAGATGGATCACTGGAGTCCAAGAGTTAGAGACCAGCCTGGGCAACATAGTGAGACCCCGTCTCTACAAAAAAAAAAAAAACACAAAAGTTTGGCAGGTGTCATGGTGTGTGCTTGTAGCCCTAGCTACCCAGGAAGCTAAGATGGGAGGATCACTTGAGCCCCAGAGGTCAAGGTTGTCATGAGCCAAGATTGTACCATTGCACTCCAGCCTGGACAACAAAGTAAGACCCTGTCTCAAAAAACAAAAAATCCTTCATTAGTTTCCTTTTGCTCTTAAGACAATGATCAAAATACAGTGGGACTTGTCTGGGCATGGTTTTTCATGCCTGTAATCCTAGCACTTTGAGAGGCCGAGGCAGGCAGATCATCTGATGTGAGGAATTCGAGACCAGCCTGGCCAACATGGTGAAACCCCATCTCTACTAAAAATACGTGAATTAGCCGGGTGTGGTGGCGTGTGCCTGTAACCCCAGCTACTTGGGAGGATGAGGCAGGAGAATCACTTGAACTTGGGAGGCAGAGGTTGCACTGAGCTGGGATTGCGCCATTGCAGTTCAGCCTGGGAGACAGAGTGAGATTCCATCTCAAAAAAAAAAAAAAAAAAAAAATACAGTGGGACCAGTGTGGCTCTTGCACACCTCTGAAGTCTTGTTTTCACATTTTCTGTAGTTCTCCTTCTTCCAGCCATATGGCCTTTGCTCAGGTCCTCAGAGGCAGAGTGTTTACTTCTATGAGGCTTTTGCCCATTTTGTTTACACCAGCACTTTGCCAAAGGTAATCCTCACTCATCCCGGAGAGTCCAGCTTAATCCTACATCCTCAGCAAACCCATCTCTCAGACCTTGACTTCCCAGACTCCATCACCTCCCGCTTATGCACTCCTCCAATACCATCCATCTCTCTTCCTAGGACATGATAATCGAATTTCACATTTATTCTTCTGGTTATTTGGTTAATGTTTTTTTCCCTCACTAGAGTTTGACCATCGTAAGATATGTGTATTTTGATCACCGTTCTTCAGGTCACCTGGCACTTAGAAGTTCAAGAAATATTTATTCAATGAAAGAATAAATCTACCCTTGTACAGAATAGAGACTTAGGGAATTTAAGTGACTTGGCCCAAGATCACATGGCTAATAAGTGGCAGAGATGGGACTGAACCCACGTGTTCAACTCCAGAGCTTAAGTTTTTACCCATTACTCTAGACCCAGTGCTTCTTAGACTGTCAATGGTGAAGGGCCGGTTTTGGGGTTTTTTGTTTTTTTAAATTTCTAATCTCTTGTAGGCTGATACTTTTGTAAAATATTTTGATCATGTATTTGGATGTTGTGACAATGTCAAATTATTATAAAAGTCTCTAAATCCTTTCTCTCAATGTCTGTGCTTATCACAGACCAGCATTGGGACACTGACCACACTTTGAGTATCTTTAGCAGCCAGGGAGCAGAATGTATTACATGTTGCCTCTGTAGCCCTGTAGATGAAGTAGAGAACTGTACAGCATAATGAGCTCACGAGGAAAGTGGAGAGAATTCCATGAGGGCCCCAAGCATTGGGAAAAGCTTCGTGGAGATGCTGAGGCTTGAAGAAGGTGTTAAGGCATGATGGAGTAGAACTTGGAAAGGAAAGGGCACTGGAACATTCCCAGCATGTGGAGAAGCTAGAATATGTGTATTGTAACAAGGGAGACCTCAGTGGTACTGACTGCTTAGAACAAGTGGTTTGTATTGAGTAGACAGAAAAAGCCAAGCACAGTTTTTTTGTTTGTTTGTTTGTTTGTTTGTTTTTTGAGATGGAGTCCCGCCCCAGGCTGGAGTACAATGGCGTCGACTACGCTCACTGCAACCCCCCCATCTTCCAGGTTCAAGTGATTCTCCTGCCTCAGCCTCCCGAGTAGCTGGGATTACAGGCACAGACCAGCACACTTGGCTAATTTTTGTATTTTTAGTAGAGACAGGGTTTCACCATGTTGGCAAGGCTGCTCTCAAACTCCTGACCTCGTGATCCGCCTGTCTCGTCCTCCCAAAGTGCTGGGATCATAGATGAGAGCCACCGTGCCCAGCCCCTACCAAGCACAGGTTTTATTATGTTCATTTCTGTCCATAATTTTTTTTCACGTTTCAAGAAGATTTCCATTACTTTAAGGGCCTTTTCCTCTTTTCCTCCTTTAATGAACTTTTCAGTACCTAGAAAAAATTAATATTTTGATCTCTGTTTTATTTGTCATTTGCGTCTTAGCAACACCCATTTGTTGCATAACACGGTATTCTGTGTTTTTTTTTTTGGAAGCAGGGTCTTAACTGTTGCCCAGGCGGGAGAGCAGTGGCGCCATCTCAGCTCATTGCAACCTCTGCCTCTCGGGCTCAGGTGAGCCTTCTACCTCAGCCTCCTGAGTAGCTGGGACTACAGGCACGTGCCACCAGCCTGGCTAATTTTTGTATTTTTTTTTTTTTTTTTTTTTTTTTTTAGAGACAGAGTCTTGCTTTGTTGCCCAGGCTGGTCTCACACTCCTGGGCTTAAGTGATCCACCTGCCTTTGCCTTCCAAAGTGCTGGGATTAGAGGTGTGAGCCACCACACCCGGCCTAGCACAATATTTGATGATGAACTACGGCTCTAATAGTTAATTTAAGTTCCCCTAGTAATTTCATTTATTTATTCAATAAATGTTTGCTGAGAGCTTTCTAACAGTCTGACTCCTGGGTAGGATTTCTATTTGTCCATCAGATAGCAACCCTCTCAAGGCCTGTTCTCATTTCTCTGTAGGTAATAAGAAATTCCTTCTCTTATCCTCACTCTTCTCCCTTTCTCCTGACCCCAGATCTCCTGAGCAGTGTCCAACTATTCTTTTCACTTAGAGAAGGCGTCTTCCTAGCTTATTATCAAATAAGCAAAAGCTGGATGTAATGTCCCAAATGTACCTTCCTCTGAAATATTTATTTGTTCAGAAACATAGTCACTTCTGAAAAATACTTTTCTGAAAACCTAACTGTTAGGTTAAATATGTTTACGGTGGTTTCAAAGATACTTGTATTTTGGAAAGTTTCCACACAGAGCTGTTACCAAATAGGCCCTCTCTTGTGTTTAAATAGTTCTTCTACTTGACTCTCCGATTTTCTTCTAGTGTTTCACTTTTAAAAATCTCATTGTGTTGGTTGTATTTTTCAGTCAAGTCCTAATTCGAAGCAGAGTCCTCAGGGAAAATGGAAAATACATTCCCAAACAGGTACTCATTTATCTTTTATTAAAAAGCTCCACGATTCACTGTTGGGCAGTAGATATCTGAATGTTTTATAAGGGGACTTTGGGGAAAGCTGAAGGTTGGCAATTTAGTAATTAAGCTGTGGCCTGATGGTGTTTGCTGTCATGGTGACCTCACCTTTCTTAGGAAATTGTTTTTAAATGTGACTCAGCTAAAGTGTCTAAAGTGTCAGGTCGCCTGCCAAGTAGGCTGACAGCTCTAAGCAGAACAGCATATCCTAAAGGTCTTCTGACTAAGTCCCTGGGGAGTAATTTGACAATCTGCTGTGTCATAGTTCTAAGACCTAAAATGCTTTTTTTTTTTTTTTTTAACTAGTCTTTCTTGACACGAAAATATTACTTCAACAACCCAGAGGATGGATTTTTCAAAAAAACTAAACGGAAGGTAGTGCCACCTTCTCCTATGACTGGTATGTTTATTCCTTTCACTCATCTTTAAGGAAGATTTTTAACATAGGTCATTGAGTGGGGTGGGGTGGGTGTGGGAGAGGGCAGGGAGGGTGTCATTTTGTTTAAATGTTAAATTGCAGAATATAGTAATCTTAGACCTTGGAAATCATCTAGTACAGGGATCTGTGGAAGTGGAATTCTCTTTTTCAGTTAGATTTTCTGAGAACCCTAATGTATAAAGTGGATTAAAAAAAAAATAGTTCTCAGCTGATGGAGTGGGGAGGCCAGAGCTGTTGTCCCTGGGTCTCTCCTTACTGATGTTCTCAGGACCCAGGGTTCTAGGGAGCACAGTTGGAAAAGCTTTCCAGCCTGGCTCTCACCCAGTGCCTGGATCCCCTTCCGACAGATGGCTGCCCAGCTTCTGCCTAAATGAGGAAGAGTGCACTACTTCCGAGACATGCAATTTTGTTGTTAGATGTGATTGTTTGGTCTATCCTACAGTTTTGGCTCTAACATTTTCTACTTCCACTGATCCCAGTCGTGAAAAATACAGCATGTTAAAAGTAAAACAGGCCGGGAGCTGGGCGCGGTGGCTCAAGCCTGTAATCCCAGCACTTTGGGAGGCCGAGACGGGCGGATCACGAGGTCAGGAGATCGAGACTAGCCTGGCTAACACGGTGAAACCCCGTCTCTACTAAAAAAATACAAAAAACTAGCCGGGTGAGGTGGCGGGCGCCTGTAGTCCAAGCTACTGGGGAGGCTGAGGCAGGAGAATGGCGTAGACCCGGGAGGCGGAGCTTGCAGTGAGCTGAGATCCGGCCACTGCACTCCAGCCTGGGCGACAGAGCGAGACTCCGTCTCAAAAAAAAAAAAAAAGTAAAACAGGCCAAGTATGGTGGCTCATGCCTGTAATCCTTGCATTTTGGGAGGCCGAGGCAGGCAGATTGCCTGAGGTCAGGAGTTCAAGACCAGCCTGGTTTACATGGTGAAATGCCGTCTCTACTAAAAATATAAAAGTTAGCCTGGCATGGTGACAGGTGCCTGTAGTCCCAGCTACTTCGCAGGCTGAGTCAGGAGAATTGCTTGAACCCGGGAGGTGGAGGTTGCAGTGAGCTGAAGTCCCATCACTGCACTCCAGCCTGGGCGACAGAGCAAGACTCTGTCTCCAAAAAATAAAAATAAAGGAAAACAAAGTAATTTGTTGTTTTGTGTTGACTCTCCTCTCATTTTAGTACTATTCACTTCTTTAGGTGAGACAGCCAGCTATTTTAAACCCATAGGGAAGGTATTATAGTTTTTTTTTTAAGAGTGACTAAGGTTGTATGGAGTTCATTTTTTAACAAGTTTTTAAGAAAATTTACAAGAAACAAAAGACCATTAAATATATGAGAAATTACTTGACGTCACTAATAATCCATGGAATACCAATTAAAACAAGGTATCTTTTTTTTTTTTTTTTTTTTGAGATGGGAGTCTCACTTTCTCATCCAGGCTGGAGTGCAGTGGTGGCGATCTCAGCTCAATGCAGGCTCTGCCTCCTGGGTTCACGCCATTCTCCTACCTCAGCCTCTCAAGTAGCTGAGATTACAGGTGCCCGCCACCACACTCGGCTAATTTTTTTGTATTTTTAATAGAGATGGGGTTTCACCATGTTAGCCAGGATGGTCTTGATCTCCTGACCTCGTGATCCACCTGCCTTGGCCTCCCAAAGTGCTGGGATTACAGATGTGAGCCACCGTGCCCGGCCAAGATATCCATTTTTTTTTTAGCCCCGTAAGCTGTCAAAAGATTGAAAAGATTGAGCCGGGCGCGGTGGCTCACGCCTGTAATCCCAGCACTTTGGGAGGCCGAGACGGGCGGATCACAAGGTCAGGAGATCGAGACCACGGTGAAACCCCGTCTCTGCTAAAAATACAAAAAATTAGCTGGGCGTGGCGGCGGGCACCTGTAGTCCCAGCTACTCAGGAGGCTGAGGCAGGAGAATGGCGTGTACCCGGGAGGCGGAGCTTGCAGTGAGCCGAGATCGCGCCACTGCACTCCAGCCTGGGGGACAGAGCAAGACTCCGTCTCAAAAAAAAGAAAAAAAAAAAAAGATTGAAAAGATTGGCAGGATCCACTATTGTCAATGTCGAGGAAGTTAGACCCCCTCACCATTGGCGGGAGTGGCGAGAGGTGGGGCTTTGCTGATAGTCTGACAATATCTATCAATTTTAAATGTACAAATCCTTGGACCTAGAAATTCTAAGAAGTTCTCTTACAGAAACACATAAACATGCAGATGTATGTGCAAGATAATTGTCGGCAGCATCATTTATCATTTATTGTCAAAAACAGTGGAAACAATCCATAGGTCTACTCAAAAGTGATTGGTGTGACCACACCGTGGAATCCTATGCAGACGTTAAAAATATTGAGACTGGGTACGGTGACTGACACCTGTAATCCCAGCACTTTGGGAGGCCGAGGCAGGCAGATCACTTGAGGTCAGTCAGGAATTCAAGACCAGCCTGATCTGGTGAAACCCCGTCTCTACTAAAAATACAGAATTAACTGGGCATGGTGGTGTGTGCCTGTAATCCCAGCTAGTTAGGAGACTGAGGCAAGAGAATCACTTGAACCTGGGAGGCAGAGGTTGCAGTGAGCTGAGATCATGCCACTGCACTGCAGCCTGGGCGATAGAGTGAGACTATGTCTCAAAAAACAAAACAAAACAAACAAACAAAAATGCCCAGCACAGTGGCTCACGCCTGTAATCTCAGCACTTTGGGAGGCCAAAGCGGGCAGATCACGAGGTCAGGAGATCGACACCATCCTGGCTAACATGGTGAAGCCCCATCTCTACTAAAAATACGAAAAATTAGCTGGGCGTGGTGGTGGACGCCTGTAGTCCCAGCTACTTGGGAGGCTGAGGCAGGAGAATGGCATGAAACCGCGAGGCGGAGTTTGCAGTGAGCTGAGATCGTGCCACTGCACTCCAGCCTGGGCAAGAGAGCAAGACTCCATCTCAAAAAAAAAAAAAAAAAAAAAAGGAAATATTGAGAGGGAGCTATTCAGTGTGGAAATATCATACACAATATATTACTAATAGTAAGCATAGTAGTATAGTATCTCTGTTTTTTGTGTGTGTGTATATATATACACACACACATATACATAAAATTTGTAATGTGTGTATGTAGAGAGAAAGATGGAAGGATATACAACAAATAGTTAAGTGTTTAGAGAATGGGCTTAAAAGAACTGTCTACATCATACATTTTTATGTCATTTGATTTTTTTTTACAATAAACTTATTTTAATTATCAAGTATGTTAAAAATTTACAGAAAATTGGGGCCAGGCGCAGTGGCTCACGCCTGTAATCCCAGCACTTTTGGGAGGCTGAGGTGGGTGGATCACGAGGTCAGGAGATTGAGACCATCCTGGCTAACATGGTGAAACTCTGTCTCTACTAAAAATACAAAAAATTAGCCGGGCGTGGTGGCAGGTGCCTATAGTCCCATCTACTCGGGAGGCTGAGGCAGGAGAATGACGTGAACCCAGGAGGCAGAGCTCGCAGTGAGCTGAGATTGCGCCACTGCACTCCAACCTGGGCCCCAGAGTGAGACTCTGTCTCAAAAAAAAAAAAAAAAATTTTTACAGAAAATCAGGAGGAAGTCACTGGCAACAGAGGTAAAACTTAGTGGGTTTCTTGTTTGTGCTTTTGTCTTAGATCCTACTATGCTGACAGACATGATGAAAGGGAATGTAACAAATGTCCTCCCTATGATTCTTATTGGTGGATGGATCAACATGACATTCTCGGGCTTTGTCACAAGTAAGTTACAGACCCAGCCGACTTCATGTTACCCAGAGAGATTCAAGTGCTACTGAGACACTAATATCATAGGTCGTATGTTTTCTTGTGTAAACTGATAATAGTCTTTGAACAAAAAATTTACTATGTGATGACTTTTATGACTTTTGCCCAAAAGTGATCCTCAGTTCATGATGTGGATACTTTTTAGCCAGATTAGATTCAAGCAAGTGACTTGCTAGCTTGCTTCCAAAACTAATATGGTATTCTAGTTGAGCAGGATAAAGGGAAGCATATTTCTATTTTGACTTCATTTGCTAGGTGTTAGGGTGAGTTTTCTATTTGTTTATAAGTTGATTTGATTTTAATCAATTTGGTTTCTTAGTAACATAGTTCTATGCTTATATATTCCACTTAGAGCTTAACAGATTGGTGCAAATTTTTTCCAAATTTCAGGTCACAGCTCAGTTTGAGTCCCTGCTTCCTCAGTAAGCTAGAAGCAAGTATTATTGAGGGAAACTAGAGCAGAGTGGCATTTTGACTGTCTTTTCTTCAGAAATTGCCACAGATTTTCTTGTGGAAGTCGTTTTCCAAAAGCTATGTGGCATAGAGTTCCCACCTCCTCTGGGAAAGATTCACACTTATTCTAAAAATAAAACAGCTCAGAGTGGTTGTGAACTTTTTCTTCTCTGCAGCCAAGGTCCCATTTCCACTGACCCTCCGTTTTAAGCCTATGTTACAGCAAGGAATCGAGCTACTCACATTAGATGCATCCTGGTAAGAACTTTCTTCTGTTTAATAAAAATACAAACCACACTTTGGGAGGCCAGGGTGGGAGGATCACTTGAGCCCAGGAGTTTGAGACCAGCCTGGGCAACAGAGTAAGACCCTGTCTCAAAAAAACGAAAACAGGCGGGGTGCAGTAGCTCACACCTGTAATCCCAGCACTTTGGGAGGCTGAGGCGGGCAGATCACAGGTCAAATCGAGACCATCCTGGCTAACACGGTGAAACCCCATCTCTACTAAAAATACAAAAAATTAGCCAGGCGTGGTGGTGGGTTCCTGTAGTCCCAGCTACTTGGGAGCTGAGGCAGGAGAATGGCGTGAATCCGGAAGGCGGAGCTTGCAGTGGGAGGAGCTTACAGTGAGGGGAGATCGCGCCACTGCACTCCAGCCTGGGCCACAGAGTGAGACTCTGTCTGAAAAGAAAAAAAAAAACGTAAACAAAAATCACACAAACCAAAATCTAAAACCAGTGCCCCTTAAAGATGAGGATTTCTGGCTGGGTGTAGTGGCTCACACCTGTAATCCCAGCACTTTGGGAGTCTGAGGCGGGCGGATCACAAGGTCAGATCGAGACCATCCTGGCTAACAGGGTGAAACCCCGTCTCTATGAAAAATACAAAAAGTTAGCCGGGTGTGGTGACTGGTGCCTGTAGTCCCAGCTACTCAGGAGGCTGAGGCAGGAGAATGGCATGAACCCAGGAGGTGGAGCTTGCAGTGAGCTGAGATCACGTCACTGCACTCCAGCCTGTTCGACAGAATGAGACTCTGTCTCAAACCAAAAAAAAAAGATGAGGAGTTCTAATTTGCATACTTCATTGGAATCGGTTTTTAAAAGGTTTTTTTTTTTTTTTTTTCCAAGACTGTGTCTCACTCTGTCACCCAGCCTGGAGTGCAGTGGTTCTATATCACTGCAACCTCCCCCTCCTGGGTTCTAGTGATTCTTCTGCCTCAGCCTCCCGAGTACCTGGGATTACAGGCGTGCACCACCACATCCGGGTAATTTTTGTATTTTTCTTGAGGACGGGGGTTTCACCATGTTGGCCAGGTTGGTCTCAAACTACTGACCTCAAGTAATCCATCTGCCTCGGCCTCCCATAGTGCTGGGATTACAGGCATGAGCCACCACGCCTGGCCAAAAGTTTTTTTGTTTTTTTTTTCATTGAAACTCCACTCAAAATGCCATGGGTGGTTTATGGCAACTTTTACATGAGTCTAGCAAAAGGAAAGAATGTGTCACCTCTTTTCTGTCACAATTGGGGGCTTAAAACTGCAGGAGTGGATGTATCAACCCCCAGAAAGTTAAAAGTTTAAGCCAGGAGTTCTGGCCATGCAATCATTTTTAGTAATACCTGGAGCTTATGAGAGTGGAAGTTTGTATTATTTTTTTTTCCAAAGTACATTACTATTAATGATAATAGTTTTCATTAGTTCTAGTCACTGTGCTTAGCATTTTCCGTATTTTACCCTCATAGCAACCTATGAAACCTATGTAGGAATTGACATTTGACAATAGTCTGTCCAAATCCAGCACCCATGTGTTATTTACCACTCTTTATAATTTTTAAAAAGAGATTTCTCCTTCTGAATACCACTGTTTTTTGTGTGTGTGGTTTTTTTTTGTTTTGTTTTTGAATGGCAGAATAAAACAACTTAAAATCTGAAAAGCTCTTAGAAAATACTGCTACAGTATCTGGAACCTAGTAAGGCTGCTTCACGTGGCCTCTCCAGACTCTTGCCTGTGGCTTCCCAAAGACTGGCATAAAACAGAGAAAAAGAATAATGGACAAAATGGGGATTACTAGTGGTAATCTTGACTACTTGGTTTGAGCAGAGCCCTCTAGGATGTGTGGGAGGAGCAGGACAGGCCAGAGGCTGGGAAGTCTGGGCCATGCACAATTCTGCTAGAGAAGAAAAGCTGTACATTATATGAGTAGCATGAGTCTATTCAGCTTTTACCTTCTGGTCTCCTTGGGCTAAACGAAAACTTCATGGGTTGGAAAGAAGCTTATTTATCTTTTCTCAGCATCCAGAGAAGCATGTGACTAAAATTATATCATGGACAGAAGGGAGACTGGAACCCCAGTGTACAGTTACCACTGTGGTGAGATCAGCAACATTGTATTCAGACAGGCCATTTACTTACCTGCAGCCTATGGAGTAACCAGAGTAGACTCTTGCCCTTATGTGACCCACTTGTTGGAATGACTATGGATCTTTCCGTTTATCATTTTCCATACTCACTTTTGGTTTTAGCTTTTATTATATGCAAGCCTATTTATTTTATGGAGATTCAGTAGGAAACATAAGCTAAAGGAAGCCTCAGTGATATAGTTCAAAACTTGGAATGGCTCTCCCAGTAGCTATAGTCCTCGGTACTATATTTCCTGAAATCCACATCTCATCCCTTCTTGTAAGTACGGAACATACCCAATGGCTCACGCCTGTAATCCTAGCACTTTGGGAAGCTGAGATGGGCAGATCACTTGAGGTCAGGAGTTCAACATCAGCTTGGCCAACATGGTGAGACCCCGTCTCTACTAAAAATACAAAAATTAGCCAGGCATGGTGGTGTGTGCCTGTAGTCCAAGCTACTCAGGAGGTTGAGGCAGGAGAATCTCTTGAACCCTGGTGGCAGAGGTTGCAGTGAGCCGAGATTGCGCCACTGCACTCCAGCCTGGGTGACACAGCGAGACTGCGTCTCAAAAACAAAAAGTATGGAACACACCAACACTTGTGATTTCCTCTCGGGAATGGAATTCAGAATGGGAGTCATCTTTGGATTTTTTTAAATATAGTTCTGTATTGTTGAGACTGCTTTAACAACTTGTATTTCTTCTGTGGTTGTGCTTTGAATGAATACAGCCCATCCAAGGTGACTTCTTTACAACCACTGAACAACTTTGGGTGGTAGGGAAGTGGGAACTGCATTACTCTCTGATACAATAACTAACCACACCATTTTCCTTTTACTTTGCCAGGGTGAGTTCTGCATCCTGGTACTTCCTCAATGTATTTGGGCTTCGGAGCATTTACTCTCTGATTCTGGGCCAAGATAATGGTAAGAAGCATGTCAGGTTTACTAAGCAAATACTTCCATAGATGAAGCATCCATGTTAGAGCCAGAAAAGTCTTGTAGGTTATGCTGTTTGTTACCATAGTCAAATAAAATGTTTCCTTCCTTCAGTTTCTGAGGTATTCTGAAAGACTTAAAAATTCCAGGGGTCAAACTGAAGATCTCAATTCTCTCTGGCAATGACTGGGACAGTATTTGATTCCCCAGAATCTGATACCATCATGTGAGGGATCCAGCACCAGCAGTGTAAGCCTGTGAACCTAAAGCTTAAAGAAGGCCTGGTTTGTCAGTCATTTCATTGACTAGAGCCCTTGCCAGTACTAATCCTTGCTCTCTTGTTTACTGGCTGGGACCTCAGAAAAGTTACTTAACAAGTTACTTAACTTCAAATTCTCTATTTGCTTATCTGTAAATAAGGACTTTATTAGTTAACCTGTGGGGTTATTAGGAACAGATGAGGTAGAATATGCGAACCACTTAGTGAAGTACTTGGCTTACAGTAGTTGCTCAATAACTGGTGCCTGTTATTGTTGAAATTTGAAATGAAGTTTAGAGCTTCTTTTAGTGATCTCTTTTTTGCTGTTACTATCCCCGTGTTTCAGGAGACACAAAGTGACTTTCCTAGAGTCTCATAGCCAGTGGGTGACAGGGCCAGTCGTGAGGCTGTAGTCCAGTTCTCTAATCTGTGTGAAGCCCATTCGTCCCCTTGGGTGCTGGGGTGCTTGCTGAGTCCTGGCACTCATGTAAGTGTGTCTTCTGCTACAGCCGCTGACCAATCACGAATGATGCAGGAGCAGATGACAGGAGCAGCCATGGCCATGCCCGCAGACACAAACAAAGCTTTCAAGGTACACTCTATTCACCATTCAAAGCCGCAGCGATGCTCTGAAAGGTGTTATCAAGAGCTATTTTAAAAATAGCTTCCTTGCAGGGAGTGTTGTGTGGTTCCATCGTTTTAATTTAAACTTAGCAAAAACATAGTTCACATGTCTCTTTTTCCTGAGGCAGAATCATCTATTAAGTAAATTGGAAATTCTTGGTACTTTTACTGGTTTTTAAATGCTCACCAGAATTTAATCCACACTATCAATGATGCCGTAGAATAATCCAATCAGAGGTGCCAGGTAAACATTTAGAATAATTTGAACATTTTTGAACCCCATAGATATCAGATATAAATTGCATTAAAAAAAATCAATACTGACCGGGCGCGGTGGCTCACGCCTGTAATCCCAACACTTTGGGAGGCTGAGGTGGGTGGATCACGAGGTCAGGGGTTCAAGACCAGGCTGACCAACATGGTGAAACCCCGTCTCTACTAAAAATACAAAAAAAATTAGCTGGGCGTGGTGGCAGGCGCCTATAATCCCAGCTACTCAGGAGGCTGAGGCAGGAGAATTGCTTGAACCCAGGAGGCGGAGGTTGCGATGAGCTGGGATTGCACCACTGCACTCCAGCCTGGGCAGCAGAGCGAGACTCTGTCTCAAAAAAAAAAAAAAAAATCAATACTAAGAGGTTTTTCACAAAAAGGTTCTAGAATTTGCATAATTTAGCCTGATTTTTGTGGAACAAAATCTCACTGTGTTTCATGATAAAAACTAGAAAGAGAAGGGAAATTCTGGCCAGGGACAGTGGCTCACACCTGTAATCCCAGCACTCTGGGAGGCCGAGGCGGGCGGGTCACCTGAAGTCAGGAGTTTGGCACCAGCCTGGACAAAATGGTGAAACCCTGTCTCTATTAAAAATACAAAAATGGACCAGGTGTGGTGGCTCATACCTGTAATCCCAGCACTTTGGTAGGCCAAGGCGGGTAGATCATCTGAGTTCAAGAGTTCAAGACCAGCCTGGCCAACATGGTAAAACCCCTTTTCTACTAAAGATACAAAAGAAAATGTGCTGGGCGTGGTGGCAGGCGCCTGTAATCCCAGTTACTTGGGAGGCTGAGACAGGAGAATTGCTTGAACTCAGGAGGCGGAGTTTGCAGTGAGCTGAGATTGCACCATTGCACTCCAGCCTGGGTAACAAGAACAAAACTCCATCTCAAAAAAAAAAAAGAAAGAAACAAAACAAAACAAAAATGAGCTGGGCATGGTGGCATGTGCCTATAATCCCAGCTACCCAGAAGGCTGAGGCAGGAGAATCGCTGGAATCCAGGATGCGGAGGCTGCAGTGAGCTGAGATCGTGCCACTGCACTCCAGCCTGGATGACAGACCAAGATTTTGTCTCAAAAAGAAAAAATAGAGAAGTTTCTCAGCCTGATAAAGGGCATCTATGACAGACCCACAGCTAACATCATACTCAATGGTGAAAGACTGAAAGCTTTCCCTTTAAGATCAAGAACAAGACAAGGATGTCTGTTCTTGCCACTTCTATTCAGCATTGTCCAGGATGTACTAGCCAGGGCAGTTAGGCAAGAAAAAGAAATAAAAAGTCATTCTGATTAGAAAGGAAGTAAAACTATCTCTGTTTGCAAATGGCATGGCGTTGTATACAGATCATGCTAAACAATCCACAAGAAAACTAACAGAGCTAATAAATAAGTTCAATATACAAAAATCAATTGTGTTTCTATATACTGGTAATGAAGAATTGGAAATGAAAGTAAAACAATTTTATTCATAATAGTATCAAAAGGAATAAAATATTTAGAAACAAATCTAACAAAAGAAATAGCCTTGGCCAGGCATGGTGGTTAACACCTGTAATCCCAGCACTTTGGGAGGCTGAGGCGGGCAGATCATGAGATCAATAGATCGAGACCATCCTGGCCAACATGGTGAAACCCCATCTGTACTAAAAATATAAAAATTAGCTGGACATGGTGGCACATGCCTATAGTTCCAGCTACTGGGGAGGCTGAGGCAAGAGAATCACTTGAACCCGGGAGGTGAAGGTTGCAGTGAGCCAAGATCGCACCACTAGACTCCAGCCTGGTGACAGAGCAAGACTTCATCTCAGAAAAAAAAAAAGAAATGACCTTTTGTTAGATTTAAACTGATACGCTGAAAAATTACAAAACATTGCTGAAAGAAATTAAAGACTTAAATAAATGGAAAGATACCCATGTTCATAGATTGGAAGACTTAATTTTTTTTTTTTTTTTTTTTTTTTGAGACGGAGTCTCGCTCTGTGGCCCAGGCTGGAGTGCAGTGGCCGGATCTCAGCTCACTGCAAGTTCCGCCTCCCGGGTTTATGCCATTCTCCTGCCTCAGCCTCCTGAGTAGCTGGGACTACAGGCGCCCGCCACCTCGCCCGGCTAGTTTTTTTTTTGTATTTTTTAGTAGAGACGGGGTTTCACCGTGTTAGCCAGGCTGGTCTCGATCTCCTGACCTCATGATCCGCCCAGGAAGACTTAATATTATTAAGATGGCAGTACTCTCCAAATTTATCCACAGATTGAACATAATCCCTATCAAAATCTTACCTGCCTTTCTTGCAGAAATTGACAAGCTGCTCCTGAAGTTCATATGGAAATTCAAGGGAATCAAAATAGGCAAAAATGTTGGCAAAATTGGAGAACTTACATGCTGTGGTTTTAAAGCCTATTACAAAGCTGTAGTAATCAAAACTGCGCAGAAATAAAAACTGGCATAAGGAGAGATATAGGTCAATGGAATAAAATGGAAAGTTCAGAAATAAACCCATCTATTTATCATCAATTGACTTTCAAAGAGGGTACCGAGACTATTCAGTGGGAAAGAATAGTGTCCATTCAATGAATGGTGCTGGGAAAAGGATATCTACATGCAAAAGAATGAAGCTGGGCACCTATTTCACACCATGTACAAAAGTTAAGTCTAAATGGTTCAACAGGCATGTGTAGTGCAGAAGAAAAAAAAAATTAGGTTCAAGTTAGCTTAGATGTGATGGTGCATGCCTATAGATGGGGGCACCACTTGAGCTGAGGAGTTTGAGGCTGCAATGAGCTATGATTGTGCCACTGCACACCAACTTGGGTGACAGCAAGACCCTGTCTCAAAAAGAAAAAAGAAATCAAATGGGTCAAAGACCCGAATCTTTAATATTGCATGATATTACTTATATAAAATATTTGGAATAGGAAAATTCACAGAGACAAGGAAGTAGGTTAGAGGTTACTGAGGATGGGATGGGGGCAGTGGGGAGTAGTTGCTTACTGTGCACATTTTCTGTTTAAGAGGACATAAAACTTTGGAAATGATGGTAGACATGGGTACACATTGTGAATGTCATTAATGCCACTGAATTTTATATCTAAAATGGCTAAAATGGTGTATGTTATGTTACATATATTTTACCACAATAAAAAAATTAAAATTTGGCTGGGCACAGTGGCTTACACCTGTAATCCCAGCACTTTGGGAGGCCGAGGCAGGCAGATCATTTGAGGTCAGGAGCTTGAGACCAGCCTGGCCAACATGATGAAATGCCATCTCTACTAAAAATACAAAAATTAGCTGGGTGTGGTGGCGCACCCCTGTAATCCCAGCCACTCAGGAGGCTGAGGCGTGAGAATCACTTGAACCAGGGAGGCAGAGATGGCAGTGAGCGGAGATCACACCATTGCAGATGCAGAGGTTGCAATGAGCCAAGATGGCGCCATTGCACTCCACCCTGGGCTACAGAGTGAGATCACCCTGTCTCAAAAAAATAAACAACTAAAAAACAGTGAGAGGGCTGGGCACGGTGGCTCACGCCTGTAATCCCAGCACTTTCGGAGGCCGAGGTAGGCGGATCACAAGGTCAGGAGTTTGATATCAGCCTGGTCAATATGGTGAAACCCTGTCTCTACTAAAAATACAAAAATTATTGTATTTTTACAATACCACCGGGCGTGGTGGTGGGTGCCTGTAGTCCCAGCTACTCAGGAGGCTGAGGCAGGAGAATCACTTAAACCCGGGAGGCGGAGGTTCCAGTGAGCCGAGCGCGTGCCACTGCACTCCAGCCTGGGTGATAGAGCGAGACTCCGTCTCAAAACAAAACAAAAAAAACCAGTGAGATACCACTTTGTGCCCACTCAGATGGTTATAATAAAAAAAAGATGAACAATAACAAGTGTTGGTGAGGATGTGGAGAAATTGGAACCCTATTGTTGATGATGGTGCAGCCACTTTGGAAAACAGTTTTTCCACCATTCCTCAAACAGTTAAAACATAATTACTGTATGACCCAGCAGTTTTACTCTTAAGTAAATACTCAAGAGAACTGAAAACATATGTCCACACAGAAACTTACGTGAGAATGTGTTCAGAGCTTGATTCATAATAATCAAAAAGTAGACATAACCCAAATACCCATCATCTAATGAAAGGATAAACAATGGAATATTTTTGAATATAATATATGTTGTATATACAGTAGAATATATACAATGGAGTGTTATTCAGCTATAAATAAGAGTGGAATACTGAATCATGTTAAACAGGTAAGAACCTTGAAAGCATGCTAAGTGAAAGAAAATAACAAAAGGCCACATATGCCCAGAATAAGTGAAAAAAGATACGGAAGATAAAGTAGTAGTTGCCAGAGGTTGTGGGAGGTGAATAATGGGAACTGTGTGCTGTTTGGTATGTGGTTTCTTTTTGTTATTAGATAATAACAAAATTATTATTAGATATTATGTAGATATTAGATAGTGGTGGTGGTTGCACAACGAATATATTAAAAATCACTAAATTGTACACATTAAAGGGGTAAATTTTATGACATGTAAATTGTATCTCAAAAACCCACTCATGAGCTAACATTTGTATTTCACATTAGATAACCTTTCTCTATCTATCTATCTGTCTATCTATCTAAGGTCTCACTGTGTCACCCAGGCTGGAGTGCAGTGGTACAATCCTAGCTCACTGCAGCCTCGAGCTCCTGGACTTAAGCATTCCTCCCACCTCAGCCTCAGTACTGGTGCATGAGGAGCCAGTACTACAGGCACACACCACCACACCCAACAAATTTTGTATAGAGATGGGATCTCACTATGTTGCCAACTCCCATCCTCAAGTGATCCTCCTGCCTTGGCCTCCCAAAGTGCTGGGATTACAGGCGTGAGCTACCACACCTTGCAAGGTTTTTTTTTTAAATTTATTTTTAAAGACGAGGTCTTACTATCTCTAGGCTCATCTAAAGATAGGTTGTCCAGGGCAGTCTCAAACTCCTGGACTCAAGCTGTCCTTAGCCTCAGCCTCCAGAGTAGCTGGGACTGTAGATGTATGCCACTGCACCCACCTCATAAAACATTTTTTAGACACTCACTAATTTAAGGCAAAGTAGATTAATAGAATATTTGAGAAATGTAATTTCTTGGAAAATTCTGCAAATTTATTTCTGCTCAACCTATTACTAGTTTACGTCTAAATGATTATATGCCAAAACCGTTTTTTAGTTCACACCATCAAAGTCTTTATTCCAGTGATTAAAAATTACTGGACTTCCACAAACTGTAATGAAGTGCCATTGTGTATCTGGACATAAGGATGGAGTAAGTGTTCTTAGGCCCACTGAAAATACCCCAGTCATTTATGTCAAAGCATTGTGGACCATGCACCATTTAAACCATATGACAAGTTCCTTGATTAAAGAGCTGAGAATCAGCACTAATTTGTCTATTGTACATCCCTCAAGAGTACTGTGGGGCACAAAGGTGCCTAGTGAGCGTGAGCTGATAGACAGGTTAAGTGCTGGGGACTTTGCAGTCAGACCAAAATTTAAATCTCAGCTCCATTAGCTCCTAGTGCCGGTGGCCTTGAACAAATTATTTGACCTCTTAGCTTTAGTTTCCTTATCTATAAATTGAGGGGTGGCACAAAGAGGGGGAGGAGAGGATGCGGGTAGCAGCATTTCCCCTGTAGGATTGAATGAGCTTATACATGTGGATAGCGCACTCCAGCTTTTGGCCTAGAGTAAGTGGTCACTGAAGCCACAGCTGTCAGTAACAATTCCCTCTTCCTGCTGGGTGTTCTCTTCCATTACAGACAGAGTGGGAAGCTTTGGAGCTGACGGATCACCAGTGGGCACTAGATGATGTCGAAGAAGAGCTCATGGCCAAAGACCTCCACTTCGAAGGCATGTTCAAAAAGGAATTACAGACCTCTATTTTTTGAAGACTGAGCAGGGATTAGCTGTGTCAGGAACTTGGTATTGCACTTAACCTTGTAACTTTGTTTGGAGCTGGCACCTCTCAGAATAAAAAGGAGGATGCAAGAGCTGGCAGGCATGCAGCAAGGCTTGTTCTTGTCTGGGCTGGGTTCCCCTTTATGTTTGAAACTAGAGGAAATAGTATGCTGGGCAACTTGTTATTTTTAAAATGTTGTAAATGTTCCTTTTGGTGACTCTAGTAATGAAAGTCAGAGAAAAGGGGAAACTTCAAGCTACTGATAATATATAAAATCTTGGCCGGGCACAGTGGCCCACGCCTGTAATCCCAGTACTTTGGGAGGCTGAGGCGGGTGGATCATGAGGTCAGGAGTTCAAGATCAGCCTGGCCAAGATGGTGAAACCCTGTCTCTACTAAAAATACAAAAAAAATTAGCCGGGCATGGTGGTGGGCACCTGTAATCCCAGCTGCTCAGGAGGCTGAGGCAGAGAATTGCTTAAACCCAGGAGGCGGAGGATGCAGTGAGCTGACATCGCACCACTGCACTCCAGCCTGGGAGACAGAGCAAAACTCCGTCTCAAAAAAAAAAAAAATATATATATATATATATATGTATGTATGTATATATATCTTAGCAGCAGCCCAGTCTTCAGAGGAAGCATTGTTAATTATAGCTAATGATTATGTGCAGTCAGTCTGACATCTGGCCACAGTAAACTCCTGTTTTCTTGGGATCCAAACACCCTGTGTTTTACCATTAGTTTTGTTAGTATTGTTAACTTTCTTTACACAAGTAAACCATTTCCACTACCAAAGGTTTAGAAACTATGGATGAACAAAATGAATCTCCCTGTATTGTTCATTTTGAGCCTACATAGAACAGAGACCAAATATGTCAAAGCCTTATTCAAATAAACTCTCTTCAGAGTGAATACCCAGGGCCAGGACAGACTTGGCAAACCTTCTATATCACTTAATTCTGCCCAGCGAAAATCAGTGACCCTGAGGCACTGCCAGATTCTAAAGTGCCTTTGGGATCATCAGAGACCAGCTATAAATAATGCAAAATCTTGATCTGGATGTCAGTATATGAAATCTTATCAAATCCATTGACAAATCGGTGCTATACTGGAATGGCTATTCCTTTGGGCGAAGGACCTCACTTCCCAGTTGCTGGGAACGAAAGAGAATTTACATATTGCTGTAAGAAGAGAGAGACGGCAGTTGTTGGTAGACATGTGGATAAGGGGCCCGAGAATAATTCCGTCTGGATTAAAGGTCCCAGGGAAGTGACAGGGTGCCATTGCTGTACCAAGAGGTGAATATAATTTGCATGTTGAGTGCAGTAATTAAGAACAAATGACTCTTGACTCCACAAATTAAACCATCCTGTTTTCTTTGCCTGTGAAAATGTTGCCTCTGTAAGTCACTAACAACCTTCTGCCGACAGTTAGGACTGTCTATCTTGGACCAGTGCGGGGAGTCTAAGATGAAAGAGATGTGAACCTTGCCCTCAGCTCACAAGAGAGAGACACATAAGAGCTTTTTTAAATTTTTTATTATTTTTTTAGAGATGGTACCTCACTATGTTGCCCAGACTGGTCTTGAACTTGTGAGCTCAAGCCATCCTCCTGCCTCAGCCTCCCGAAGTGCTGGGATTATAGGCATAAGCCACCATGCCTGGCTAAAAGAGACCTTTTTTTTGAGGTCACTGAATCTGAGAATCTGGAATCTCTGACCCTGGTCTCCAGAGCAACATATGTGGGCATAGACACGCATACGTCCCTCTAAAGCTTATTCATAATGACCCGCAGACCCAAGAAACCCTGAGCTTTAACGATAGTTAAAATGGCTGCTTACACCAGATATAAAAGGAACAAGTGTTCACAGGGGAGCTAACCTTTGACCTGGGTCTTGAAAGACTTCCTCTGTGTAGAGGGCATTCCAAGCAGAGAAAACAGAATCAGCAAAAGCCCATGGATTAAACTGTCTGCAATTCATTGCACCCCAAGGAAGTGGGGAGTGGTCCACTATGCCCTGGAAAGGTCCAGGTTGGGTAGCATGCAAATAGTAATTGGTGATTGAGTGGTAGCCACCTCGTTCCTCTGCATCAGGAGCATTTGAGTCTGCCTCTTCACTCACACAAGGCTTTACCTTTTTCCCTTGTAGCAAAGGTGGGTGGTTAAAATGTGTGTGACCAGCCTGGCCAACACGGTGAAACTCCGTCTCTACTAAATATACAAAAATTAGCCACCCGTGGTGGTGTGCACCTGTAATCCCAGATACTCGGGAGGCTGAGGCAGGAGAATCACTTGAACCTGGGAGGCAGAGGTTGCAGTGAGCTGAGATCATGCCACTTTACTCTAGCCTCGACAACAAGAGTGAAACTCCATCTCAAAAAAAAAAAAAAAAAAAGTGTGTGTGAGACTTTCCTGCCCCATTGTACTGGTAGTAAATGCACAGACCTGTCCTTGGCATCAGCAAGTCAAAAGGAAAAGCCAAGTTTGTTTTAGTAGGCTCTTTCCAGAACCACCGCACAGGTTTAGGGAGCAGTGCTTATTGTGTGTATTTCTTGGAGTTTAATTTGGGCCAGGCTCTAAATGAGAATTGCATCTCTTCATCCACCTGGACTTACCACCTGATACCATTTAGGACACCGCAAATGTCTACTTGCTGATCATGGTATGGAACAGGGGCGTCCAATCCTTTGGCTTCCCTGGGCCACATTGGAAGAAGAATTGTCTTGGGCCACACATAAAATACACTAACACTAATGATAGCTGATTAGAGCTAAAAAACAAATGAACAAAAAAAACATGTTTTAAGAAAGTTTATGAATTTGTATTAGGCTGCATACCAAGCTGCCCTGGGCTGCATGCGGCCCGCAAGCCAGACAAGCTTGGTATAGAAAGTACCATACAAGGAAAGCTAAATATTGACAGTCAAGCACAAAACAACTCAGAAAAATACAGCTTAGATTTGAGTTGAGTAGGTAAACCCTTGCTTAGGGACAAGCTTAATTCCTCTGTTTGGTCTGTAAGGTGTGTGATGGGTATGTGTGTAGTATGTGTGTATGTGGAAGAGGGTTACTAACTGGATGAGAAATATTGCAGTTGCAGGTGACAAGCTGAACTCAAGCAATTAAAAAGGGATGGAAATTGACTCAATAACTGAAATGTAAACTGGTTGGCTTCAGGCACAGCTGGATTCAGGGCCTCTCACGATGTCATGAGGACTCAGTTGCTTTCTCAAATCTGCTTCTCAGGCAGTTTTCTTATAGAGGCACGAGATTAGTAATCCCAGTGAAAAGAAAGCGCCCCTATTTTAAAAATCTAGCAAAAGTTGGCTGGGCACGGTGGCTCACACCTGTAATCCCAGCACTTTGGGAGGCTGAGGCGGGCGGATCACGAGGTCAGGAGATCGAGACCATCCTGGCTAACATGGTGAAACCCTGTTTCTACTAAAAAATACAAAAAAAATTAGCCGGGCGTGGTGGCAGGTGCCTGTAGTCCCAGCTACTCGGGAGGCTGAGGCAGGAGAATGGCCTGAGCCTGGGAGGCGGAGCTTGCAGTGAGCCTAGATCGTACCACTGCACTCCAGCCTGTGTGACAGAGTGAGACTCCATCTCAAAAAATAATAAAATAAAATAAAAAATCTAGCAAAAGTTAGGATTGCATCTAACTAATCTGCCTTGGGTCATGTACAAATTCCAGGAATCACTTAGCTTTTCATAAATAAACTATAAGAACTGAAGGTGTAATAGGAGTGATTCCCCAGAGGAAAACTGGGATGCTGTTGCCAGAAGAAGTGGCATGGGTACCAGACAAAAAATATCTTACCTTTAATGATCTAAACCATCTGGAATGTTCCCAACAGGAGGTGCTGTCCCTGTCCTTGGAGGTAATTGTGTTCTGCAGACATTTGCAGGATTTCTGCAGTGTGCTCAGGGCCATGCTAGATATTTTCAGATCTTTCTGTTCATTCAACCAATAGTGAATTGAGTGTTGCCAGGCACCGCATATGAACAAGACGCAGTCAAAGACCTTAGAAACTCAGACTACTATAGTACATGCTGTGACAGGGATGATCCTAGGGAGGCCGTGGGAACATCCTGCAGGTCATCCAATCAACCCAAATGGTCAGGGAAGGCTTCCCAGCAGGAACATCTCAACTAAGGTGTGAAAGATCATGAGGAACTTGCCAGAAAAAAATTATACAGACTGTTCCAAACAGAGGAAACAGTGTGCACAAAGTCCCAGAAGCAAAGATGGTGGTGTTTTCATGGAACTGAAACAAGACCTGCATGATCCTGCAGTGTAGAATATGAAAGGACACTGATAAACATTTGGATTGTACACTTAAAATGGGTGAATGGGGTGGGGGGGGCAATTATAGCTCCCTAAAGCTGCTTCAGAAAACAAAAATGTGAGGCGGCAGCACTAGGGCCAGATGGCAGAGGAGTTCATAAGTCATCCTTCAGAGGCAGAACTTCATCCCGATGGTGGCAGCAGGAAGCCTTTGTAGGGACTGGTGTGGAGGGATTTGCTGCTGGGCAGGGAATGGAATGGAGGGGCAGAAGTGGGTAAGGAGAGCACTGGAGTGAGAGTGAGATGGTAGTGCGGTCAGAGGAGAAGGCACGGCATTGAAGTCATGTCCATGATTAGCTCCTGCTTTCTCACACTCACTGTGTTGCTTTGCAGAAGACAGTTTTCCTCTTTGGGCCTCAGTCTCCCCATCAGTCACAAGGGGATCATATGGTGCAGCTACTTTGGAAAAGTCTGACAGGTCCTCAAAAGTTTAAATGTAAAGTTTCCATGTGACCCAGCAGTTCCCCTCCTAAATAGATACATACCCAAGAGAAGTGAAAACATATTGGCCGGGCGCGGTGGCTCATGCCTGTAATTCCAGCATTTGGGAGGCCGAGGCGGGCAGATCGCAAGGTCAGGAGTTCGAGACCAGCCTGACCAACATGGTGAAACCCCGTCTGTACTTAAAATAGAAAAATTAGCCAGGCGTGATGGTGTGCGCCTGTAATCCCAGCTACTTGGGAGGCTGAGGCAGGAGAATCGCTTGAACCCAGGAGATGGAAGTTGCAGTGAGCCGGGATCGTGCCATTGCAC